TTTCCTGGTATCCCGGTATCCCGGTATCCCGGTTTCCCGGTATCCCGGTATCCCGGTATCCCGGTATCCCGGTTTCCCGGTATCCCGGTATCCCGGTATCCCGGTTTCCCGGTTTCCCGGTTTCCCGGTATCCCGGTATCCCGGTATCCCGGTATCCCGGTTTCCCGGTTTCCCGGTATCCCGGTATCCCGGTATCCCGGTATCCCGGTTTCCCAATTTCCCGGTATCCTGGTATCCCGGTATCCCGGTATCCAGGTTTCCCGGTATCCCGGTACCCCGGTATCCCGGTTTCCCGGTAACCGGGTATCCCGGTATCCCGGTTTCCCGGTTTCCCGGTATCCCGGAATCTCGCTATCCCGGTATCCTGGAATCCCGGTATCCCGGTTTCCTGGTATCCCGGTATCCCGGTATCCCGGTATCCCGGTTTCCCGGTATCCCGGTATCCCGGTATCCCGGTATCCCGGTTTCCCGGTATCCCGGTATCCCGGTATCCCGGTTTCCCGATTTCCCGGTTTCCCGGTATCCCGGTATCCCGGTATCCCGGTATCCCGGTTTCCCGGTTTCCCGGTATCCCGGTATCCCGGTATCCCGGTTTCCCGGTTTCCCGGTTTCCCGGTTTCCCGGTCTCCCGGTATCCCTGTATCCCGGTATCCCGGTATCCCGGTATCCCGGTTTCCCGGTTTCCCGGTTTCCCGGTTTCCCGGTATCCCTGTATCCCTGTATCCCGGTATCCCGGTTTCCCGGTATCCCTGTATCCCGGTATCCTGGTATCCCGGTATCCCTGTTTCCCGGTATCCCGGTATCCCCGTATCCCCGTATCCCCGTATCCCCGTACCCCGGTATCCCGGTATCCCGGTTTCCCGGTTTCCCGGTTTCCCGGTTTCCCGGTTTCCCGGTATCCCGGTATCCCGGTATCCCGGTATCCCGGTATCCCGGTATCCCGGTATCCCGGTATCCCGGTATCCCGGTATCCCGGTATCCCGGTATCCCGGTATCCCGGTATCCCGGTATCCCGGTATCCCGGTATCCCGGTTTCCCGGTATCCCGGTTTCCCGGTTTCCAGGTTTCCAGGTTTCCCGGTATCCCGGTATCCCGGTATCCCGGTATCCCGGTTTCCCGGTATCCCGGTATCCCGGTTTCCAGGTTTCCAGGTTTCCCGGAATCCCGGAATCCCGGAATCCCGGTATCCCGGTATCCCGGTATCCCGGAATCTCGGAATCCCGGTATCCCGGTATCCCGGTCTCCCGGTCGGAATCCCGGTCTCCCGGTCTCCCGGTTTCCCGGTTTCCCGGTATCCCGGTATCCCGGTTTCCCGGTATCCCGGTATCCCGGTATCCCGGTATCCCGGTATCCCGGTATCCCGGTATCCCGGTTTCCCGGTTTCCCGGTTTCCCGGTTTCCCGGTATCCGGGTATCCCGGTATCCCGGTATCCCGGTATCCCGGTATCCCGGTATCCCGGTTTCCCGGTATCCCGGTATCCCGGTATCCCGGTATCCCGGTATCCCGGTATCCCGGTATCCCGGTATCCCGGTATCCCGGTATCCCGGTTTCCCGGTATCCCGGTATCCCGGTTTCCAGGTTTCCAGGTTTCCCGGAATCCCGGAATCCCGGAATCCCGAAATCCCGGTATCGCGGTATCCCGGTATCCCGGAATCCCGGAATCCCGGTATCCCGGTATCCCGGAATCCCGGTATCCCGGTCTCCCGGTCGGAATCCCGGTCTCCCGGTCTCCCGGTTTCCCGGTTTCCCGGTATCCCGGTATCCCGGTTTCCCGGTATCCCGGTATCCCGGTATCCCGGTATCCCGGTATCCCGGTATCCCGGTATCCCGGTTTCCCGGTATCCCGGTATCCCGGTTTCCAGGTTTTCAGGTTTCCCGGAATCCCGGAATCCCGGAATCCCGGTATCCCGGTATCCCGGAATCTCGGAATCCCGGTATCCCGGTATCCCGGAATCCCGGTATCCCGGTCTCCCGGTCGGAATCCCGGTCTCCCGGTCTCCCGGTTTCCCGGTTTCCCGGTATCCCGGTATCCCGGTTTCCCGGTTTCCCGGTATCCCGGAATCTCGGTATCCCGGTATCCCGGAATCCCGGTATCCCGGTATCCCCGTATCCCGGTTTCCCGGTTTCCCGGTATCTCGGTATCCCGGTTTCCCGGTTTCCCGGTATCCCGGTATCCCGGTATCCCGATATCCCGGTATCCCGGTATCCCGGTATCCCGGTATCCCGGTATCCCGGTATCCCGGTATCCCGGTTTCCCGGTATCCCGGTATCCCGGTATCCCGGTATCCCGGTATCCCGGTATCCCGGTATCCCGGTATCCCGGTATCCCGGTATCCCGGTATCCCGGTATCCCGGTTTCCCGGTATCCCGGTTTCCCGGTTTCCCGGTTTCCCGGTATCCGGGTATCCCGGTATCCCGGTATCCCGGTATCCCGGTTTCCCGGTTTCCCGGTATCCCGGAATCCCGGTATCCCGGAATCCCGGAATCCCGGAATCCCGGTTTCCCGGAATCCCGGTATCCCGGTATCCCTGTATCCCGGTATCCCGGAATCCCGGTATCCCGGTATCCCGGTTTCCCGGTTTCCCGGTATCCCGGTATCCCGGTTTCCCGGTGTCCCCATGTCCCGGTTTCCCGGTATCCCGGTAACCCGGTTTCCCGGTATCCTGGTTTCCCGGTTTCCCGGTATCCCGGTATCCCTGTTTCCTGGTATCCCGGTATCCCGTTTTCCCGGTATCCCTGTTTCCTGGTTTCCCGGCATCCCGGTTTCCCGGTACCCCACATCAAGATAGGAATATGATAAAAAAAAAAAAAAAAAAAAAAAACACACACACACACACACACACACACACACACACAACAAAAACTCCAGTAAAATAAATGTCCTCCTGGTCTGGGAATGACATCAAGCTGCCTGGAAAAGCTCCACTCGCCCTCCACAACCTCCCCACTCTCCCCCTCTCCCACTCTTTTCTCCTTCCCTTTTTTTCTTTCCAGCGGCCGCCCTGCCATCATCAAGCTACCGCCTGGGGGTGGCATCAGCCCGCCTGGACCAGCTCTACTCGCCCTCCATCACACTCGCCCTCCGCCTCGCTTTAGAGCAGTTCGATAAGAAGGTGAGGCGCCCTCACACACTGCAGCCAGGCAGGCACGCAACGATGCACACACTGCTTCCCCGTGCCGTGCATGCATTCCCCTTTCCACTTCCTCTGGATTTAGCGCCCCGGTCCCTCATTTCTGTGCTTGCCAGTCATCTCAGTACTACTCTGCCTTGGCTACCTCCTTTCTCTCTCAAATGGTCCTTTGTATTAATTCAGCAGGGGGAAAAGACATGTCCCTCTCTCTCCCTCTCTCTCTTGCTCCCTGTCCACCCCTCACCCATCAGATGCCTGGCTTCATCTCCCCACACGCCCTGCTACATGCTGCTGAGGTGAGACTCCTTACCACTAGGCTCGATTTTTGAGTCGACTCAAAAATCCACACGCCCTGCTACATGCTGCTGAGGTGAGACTCCTTACCACTAGGCTCGATTTTTGAGTCGACTCAAAAATCCACACGCCCTGCTACATGCTGCTGAGGTGAGACTCCTTACCACTAGGCTCGATTTTTGAGTCGACTAAAAAATCCACACGCCCTGCTACATGCTGCTGAGGTGAGACTCCTTACCACTAGGCTCGATTTTTGAGTCGATTCAAAAATCCACACGCCCTGCTACATGCTGCTGAGGTGAGACTCCTTACCACTAGGCTCGATTTTTGAGTCGACTCAAAAATCCACACGCCCTGCTACATGCTGCTGAGGTGAGACTCCTTACCACTAGGCTCGATTTTTTAGTCGACTCAAAAATCCACACGCCCTGCTACATGCTGCTGAGGTGAGACTCCTTACCACTAGGCTCGATTTTTGAGTCGACTCAAAAATCCACACGCCCTGCTACATGCTGCTGAGGTGAGACTCCTTACCACTAGGCTCGATTTTTGAGTCGACTCAAAAACTAGACTCCTTACCACTAGGCTCCCTACAGTGGCCTGTTTTTGAGTTGACTAGTTTTGAGACGTCTCAAAACTAGACTCCTTACCACTAGGCTCCCTACACTGGCCTGTTTTTGAGTTGACTAGTTTTGAGACGTCTCAAAACTAGACTCCTTACCACTAGGCTCCCTACACTGGCCTGTTTTTGAGTTGACTAGTTTTGAGACGTCTCAAAACTAGACTCCTTACCACTAGGCTCCCTACACTGGCCTGTTTTTAAGTTGACTAGTTTTGAGACGTCTCAAAACTAGACTCCTTACCACTAGGCTCCCTACACTGGCCTGTTTTTGAGTTGACTAGTTTTGAGACGTCTCAAAACTAGACTCCTTACCACTAGGCTCCCTACACTGGCCTGTTTTTGAGTTGACTAGTTTTGAGACGTCTCAAAACTAGACTCCTTACCACTAGGCTCCCTACACTGGCCTGTTTTTGAGTTGACTAGTTTTGAGACGTCAGAAAACTAGACTCCTTACCACTAGGCTCCCTACACTGGCCTGTTTTTGAGTTGACTAGTTTTGAGACGTCTCAAAACTAGACTCCTTACCACTAGGCTCCCTACACTGGCCTGTTTTTGAGTTGACTAGTTTTGAGACGTCTCAAAACTAGACTCCTTACCACTAGGCTCCCTACACTGGCCTGTTTTTGAGTTGACTAGTTTTGAGACGTCTCAAAACTAGACTCCTTACCACTAGGCTCCCTACACTGGCCTGTTTTTGAGTTGACTAGTTTTGAGACGTCTCAAAACTAGACTCCTTACCACTAGGCTCCCTACACTGGCCTGTTTTTGAGTTGACTAGTTTTGAGACGTCTCAAAACTAGACTCCTTACCACTAGGCTCCCTACACTGGCCTGTTTTTGAGTTGACTCAAAAACAGTCTCCCCACACGCCCTGCTCTATGCCGCTGAGGTGAGACGAGTAGGCTCCCTACATCAGCTCATTGTATTTGATAAACCGGAGACTTGTATTCTTTTCAATCTGCTACGTGGCATGGCTGCTCTATGCCCCCCACGCCTCCTCTCCCTGCTGTATCATCTCCACAAACCCAACACGGCATCATCCACACCATCCCATCCTCCTCTTTATCCCACCAGACGCGCACGAGTTGTCCAGTGCGTGTGGAGCGAGGGGCAGAGAGCTGTGAGAGTGTGTCGCTGCCGGGGCTGTACCCGATAGGCGAGGGGGCGGGGTACGCGGGGGGCATCGTGAGCGCTGCAGTGGATGGCATGCTCGCTGCCAGAGCCATCCTGCGTACAGCTGTGACTTCTGAAGTGAATGATCAGTAATCTTGAGGTTCACATATTCTGCCTTCCTTCGTCCTGTCCAGTCTAACCAACTGTATGTCCAGTTACCTTGGTTGGCAACTATAAGCTGCTGCTTTGCCCCTAACATGTAGTACTGCTGCATGGTTTCAACGAGTGTACCAGGAATAAGTGGTCACTGTTTTATTCATTTATTCTGCTGATATACATGCATACATGAATGAAAGAATCATGCTAGCTAACAGCATGCCTACCTAATACATATCTTTGTTATATATAACATTATATGACAATGCTACCATCTTCCTGTAGAATGTAGGAGCTGGTATATTCCAGTCCTTGTAATACGTTTGTACTGATACCGGCATGATCCCAACTCGCGCTCTCGGACACGAAACAAACCCCTTATGCTTCTTATACACTATCGAGTCCGCTTTTACCCCATAATCCCCTTTACTGTAATCGTGAAACCGCATTTCATCACCAGTGTACCTGTAGAGCACCTGCCGGTTCACCTTCCGGGCGGCAGGCACCCGCCCGCAGTACCGGTACTCGTCCGGGCGGCTTGTGTCGGCATCTACTGCGATGAGCTCGACGTCGTTTTCGGTGGGCAGGCCGCTGCATGCGCCGGTCTGCTTGGAGGTGAGAGCTTTGTGACCTGCGGGGTTGCAGGACTGCGTGCCGATGCGTGTCTGCCTGCACACATGCTTCATCCACGGCCATAGCTGGTGGGGGAAATGGGGGGAAGATGGAGGGAGAGATGAGGGGAGAGATAAGGGGAGAGATGAGGGAAAAGGTGCTGAGGTAAGAGCTGAGGAACTGGAGAGGCGGCAAGAGGTGGGGAGAAACGGGGAGAGGTGAGAGGAGAGATGGGGAAAGAGATGGTGAAGAGTTGAAGGGAGAGGTGGGGAAGGGGAGGGAAGGAGGAAAAGCCTCACCTTATTGATCTCCGGGGAGTTGTAGTAGCGCTTGCGCATCCTCTCCCAATAGGTCCCAGGGTCCTTCCACAGTGGTTGATTGTGACTGTCAGGCAGGTAATATAGCCCGGGCTCTGCCCCAGGCTGACCATGAGCAGGCTGCGGATCTTGTTGCGCTTGCCGTTGTTCAGCTTCACTCCGTCCCACAGCTGCGCACACACGCCCCCTGTGATGTCCACTCCTGATGTGCAGTAGTCCAGGTAGTAGCAGTGGTCCCCGCCTATCACATAATTGCAGGCCACTGTGCTGCCTGTGGAAGGGTAGGGTGGGGGATGGATGGAAAAGGGTGAAGGGCAGGAATGAGTCAGATTACCCACAGCTGAGTGAACACGCCCAGAGTAATTAAGTGCCACCAGCCGGAATTGAACCTGCATCGGTCGCCACTTACCAGGGTTGAACCAGTGAGTGCAGAAATAAATCCCGGCCGAGTCAAACGTCAGGCGGCCCTTGGACTGAGGCGTGAAGACAAAGTTGTTCTTCACTGACGTCAGCATGCAGTCCCACGAGTAGTGCACGTCAGCGCCGCACCGGAACCCCGCAAACAAATAATCATGCAGGAAATTATTATGCACCTTCACGCCGATCGACCCACGGTAGAGGTTAATCAGCTCCCACGCGCCAAAGACATCATTATTGGTGATCACATTCTTGGAGGAAACCAGAGTCATGCCGAGCCCGCACATGCCCATGCGGATCACTCCCGGTGACCTCTCGTACGTCCCAGGGGCGGTTACAAAGAGAGAGTCCAGCTTTGTGTATCCGGATCGGAAGACGTCGATTCGCCCGAGCACGGAAGCCTGCGTGAACTGAATCCCGAACGAGCGGTAGATGTGGAGAGCCGGGCAGATGATTTCAAACCCCATCAGGCTGCCGTATTCGGGCAGCACCTCGCAGAAGGGCGAGGAGTTGCGCACGGCGCTGCGCAGGGCGATGCCGATGAACAGGACGTTGCTGGCGTTGTGCACTCTTAGCACGGGCTCATCGGAGCGGGAGAGGGAGATGGAGTGGCGCGAGGGCAGCGAGCGGGACCGGAAGATGGTGCAGGAGAAGTTGGTCCCGAAGAGGAGCCCGCGGGAGAGGGAGAGCGAGCGGTAGAGCACGAGCGTGACGGTCTGCCGGGGAGGGTATCGCGTGCGCTTAGCGATGTCGGACACTGAGTAGACTTTGATCACCGGGCTGCTGTGCCGCGGGGAGCATGGCTTTGCTGCCCCCTTGGGAGTGACGGCTCCCTTGGGATTGACGGAGGCGATGGTGGCCTTGAGATTGTTGGGAGTGTTGGGGTGGGCGGCAGTGGCGGTGGCTTTCAGGCGCTGCCAGGAGAGTGTGCCGCCCGGCATCATGTCATCCATGTCGTCTTCTGTCATCACAGCAAACCGCCCTGCCACCCCTGCCGTCCCTGGCGTCCCTTCCGCCCTCTCCCGCCCCTGCGCCGCTGCCGCCCATTTGCTCCTCGCCTCTGCCGCCCACACCGCCTCCTTGGCTTTAGTCACTTGATTCATCCGTTTCGCCTGCTGCTGCCACTGCCGCAGCCTGGTCTTAACTAGCCCTTGCTGCTGCCGCCAGTGCTCCTCCTGCATCGCAATCTCCTCCGCCGTCTGCGGCCGTTGGTCCCGCTCCCACCGCTGCTGCTCCCGCTTTGCCCACTCCGGCGCCTCTCCCGGCTTCTGCTGCTTCCCCCCCTGCGCCCCCCACTGCTGCACTCCTTGCTGCTGCTGCTTGAACTGAAGGCTCGCAGTCCGTGCGTGTTTCTGCGCGCGCCGCTGCACCTGCTGCTGCCACTGCTGGTGCCCGGACGGCCTGTGGGAATACCTGGGGCCATATTTCCCGCTATCATAAGGCTGCTTTCCTCCTCCTCCTCCTCTTGATCCTGGTCCCCCACTTCCTCTTCCTGTTGTTGTTCGTCTGGTCTGTATCGCCGGTCCTGTACTCCTGTATTGGTAATCAGCCCGTCCGAATGCGGCAATTGCGACCCTTCAAACACAGAGGGAAGTGGATTTTCCCCTTCCCCTTCCCCTTCCCCTTCGCCATCGCCCGGCCCCACGTCCTCCGCCAGTTCCTTCCACCTCTCCTCTTCCGCCTCATCCCTCTCCGCTGCCTCTACCGCGGCCTCGTCACCGCACAGCGCCGCATATCCCCGCACAGCGCCGCCCTCTGCCGATCGTTTATCACAGATCGGGCCATCGCGTATCCCCCGACCACCTGGCGGTGTCCCTGTGCGGTTCGTGCGTCGGGGCAATGAAAAGACTCCGGAAGTTGTGGATCCGCGGAAGATAGCGCGCAAAATCCCTGCGGTGTCGGGCAGGCGGCGGAGCTCACGGGGAATGATCGGCGGATGTGCCGCTGCAGCGGAAATTCCCACAAGAGCCGCCGCGTAACACAGCGACAATAAAAGCGCCGCCGCGAGGAGCGGTGGTAATAGCGCCTTCCCTGTGAAGACGACGCGCCGCATCTGATCGATATGGGGATGGCTTGAAACTGTTTCGACTTGGAACGAAAATATATGTATTGGTCGCTACAATCTAAACAAACTTCTGGTACGCGGCGTATCGGCGATAATTATAAAGGTTATGATATAGGTACGCACGAAAAGAAACAGACGGAAGAACCCAAGTGAAAGAACAAGCGTCGAAGCTTGGTCATGACGCTTTGTAGAAGTCGTCAGGAATGCACACAACGGAATGAACACGACGGTTGCACCTGCCAAACATTTCTGGTCCACAAATGCGAACACGACAGAGAGAAGGCGCACAAACACATGCATGCGCTCAAGTTGGAACAAAAACGCTGCCCTGCATTGCCGCGTTGCCCCCATTTCAACCCCCCTCTCTCGCTCAGCAACGACACTCCAGCACTCCCTCCCCCCAAAAAACATGTTGACTCATTGAACCTGTTGCGTTGGCCCCATCTGTCGGTGCGGGCAACAGAAAAATGCACCAGGTTTGCCCAGCCCTCAGAAACTTCGCAAAAACTGGTTGGTGAGGCTGTCTCCTCGGCTGTCTGTGGTTGTTCTCACTACTTTCCGCTTGCCCGTTTTCCGCATGACCGGGTCAGCACTTTCTTCCCGTGCCGCACACGGAGTGCCGGGCACCAGGAAGAATTACCTGCCCGAGTGGTGCTGAAGTCGGTGCTGTCATGCCAAACCAGACTCGCGAGTTCGACACCCCACGATGGTCGACATGTTCCATGCGAACAAGACTACGTCGTTCGTCGTGCAATGGCGAAGACTGGCAAGGGTTACCACGACAAGTGGTACTGTGCAGTCCAGCGCTTCAGGGAGAACCACAGATTTGCCCGGTCAACGTCAGCGCCGCCTTGGACCTCGTTGACCCCTACATGCTTAATGCACAAAAATGACTGGTAATCCCTACAATTACTGGGACATTATGAACAACACTTACAGAGGAAACAGAAATGATAATGCAACCATCAATATATTGTTAGAAGGTACAGCTAACCAAATCAGACAGCTTCAGCCAGCCACAGCCCACTACACGAATAAAGCGTCTCTCTACAAAGAGCTACGACATGCAATGCTCCCTATTCTGCAACCAGCAAATCATGAAGCTAGAAACGAACAAGCGGTGGTTAGGCACATCTATACAAAACAAACTACACAAGATCAGAATTCTCCTGTCCAAGCCTACACCGCCACCAACACGGCGACCCACGGTCAAGAATTGGCAGGGGCGCCATCGGTGGGGCCTCCAGCCAAGTCGATTTCACTGAGCTTGAGCAGGGCACGCAGAGAGGAGCGGCTCTTAGAGAAGTGGCGCAAACTGCCCCTGAGGTCCGTGCCCTTGCGCATCATCACCTTGAACTCATCAAAGCTGATCTTGCCGTCCTGGAGGAAGGAGACATGGGAGTGAGGGCAGGGATAGGAGAGGGGAGCACAGAGAGGAGTGGGGAGCATAGAGATGAATGAATGAAAAGTCACTGCTGAGGTGTGAAGAGATGACAATAATAGCCTTGTGAGCATGTTGTTGACGGGCTATGGCCTTATTACTGTCATGTGATGTGCATATTGTTGACATGCCCTTTTGATTGACATGCCCCTTTGATTGACATGCCCTTTTGATTGACATGCCCTTTTGATTGACATGCCCTTTTGATTGACATGCCCTTTATGCAGCTCATATTATTGGTGTGGAGCTCAACAAGAATCTCCACGAGAAAAGCGACATTGTCGGCAACAAGGTCGGCGCCCAGGGCATCCGCCAGCTCTTCAATGCCGATGAACCCGCTGCGATCCGAGTCAAACAAGTCAAACAAGTAGAGTGTTTCTGAGTATTCTCAGAAACACCCGGCATGTCCATCGCAAGCTCAAGTATGCCAATCCAGAATCGCAAGCTCACATTGTTGGTGTCCACTTCCGCAAGGATTTCCTTGAGTGACGTCAAGTCCGCGCCCAATGCATCCGCCAGCTCCTCGATGTCAATGAACCCGCTGCGGTCCGAGTCAAAGAAGTCAAACGCCGCCTGCAGGTTCTTCTCGTTGTCCACGCGCTGCAGATGCATCGTTGCCGCCACAAACTCACTGTAGTCGATTTCACCGTTGCCATCGATGTCCGCCTATTGGTGGGCCGGGGGGGGGAGGGGTGGGGTGTGGGGGGGGGGGGGGGGGTTGAGTCGGCTCAAGACGCGTCGCAGATGCATCATTGCTGCCACAAGTTCACTGTAGTCAATCTCCCTGTTACCGTCGATGTCCGCCTGTTGGTGGGCCGGGGGGGTGAGGGGCAGTCAGTGACGGATGAAGGATGAATCAGTACATGCATTGTTGTGGATCGACACCACCAACTACCACAGGCACATAGCCATGCATCCATGCATTCAAAACATCCGTGCACACCCCACTCCACTCACCGCGTCCATGAGTGCCTGCACTTCAGCATCGGAGAGCGGCGAGCCGATGCGGCGGAGGCAAGGACTGGTACATGCACGTACAGCCATACACAGCCATGCCTCCATGCTCCATACACACCCCACTGCACTCACTGCATCCATGAGCGCCTGCACTTCGGCGTCGGAGAGCGGCGAGCCGATGCGGCGGAGGCCGTTGCGGAGCTCCTCGAGGGTGAGCGTGCCGTCCCCGTTCTCGTCGATGATCTTGAACACCTCCTGTAGCCCCTGCATCTCCTCTGCCGAGGATAGCTGGTCGGCGATGACCTAGGGAGATAGAGTATGAGGGGCAAGTGAGGGGGTGGTACAGTGAGAAAGGGGTTCAGAGGGGTGAGCGTGCTGTCCCCGTTCTCATCTATGATCTTGAACACCTCCTGTAGCCCCTGCATCTCCTCCGCTGATGACAGCTGGTCCGCTATGACCTAGACAAGGGGGACGAGGGGGTAAACAAGGGGGACGAGGGGGTAAACAAGGGGGAGAGTGGCGGGAGAGTGAGCGTAGAGCGAGAGGGAGAGTTCAGGGAGAGTGAAATGGGATGTAGGTTGAAATGGGTCCAGGGCAGGTTAAAGGCAGGTGTGTTTTATGCTTAGTGGCAGCAGCAACGCACCTGGAACCACCTCAACTTGAGCTTCTTCGTGTCCTGGAACGTGTGCAGCGTGTGTGTTGTGTGCAAATGGCGTGTGGGGTGTGTGTTCCTGTCTCAACTGGCATCAAACGAAGCTCACCTTGATCGCCTTCTTCTTGAGCTTGTTCATGGCCTGGAGGGGCTGTATGTAATGTGGGTGTGTAGGCAATGCCGGTGTAGGCAATGCAATGCTGTGGATGTCAGCAGTAGCAGCTCACCTTGAGCGCCTTCTTTTTGGGCTTGTTCATGGCCTGGAACGACTGCCACGTGTGTGTGCATGTGATGCAATTGCTTGTTGTGGTGTGGTGTTCCTGTCTCGAGTGGCAGCAGCAGCAGCCTCCTGGGACTCACCTTGAGCGCCTTCTTCTTGAGCTTGTTCATGGCCTGGAACGACTGCATGCGCGACAGCACCTCCACTCCCAGCGGCGTGTCTGGCGCCTCGTTGGCGTCCCTCAGCCACGGGTGCTCTGGTGGGCGCAGGTGGCAGTGGGAAAAGGGGAAGAAAGGGTTGGGGGGTGGGAGAAACTTTTATGAGGTGCTTCACAAGTCGCCTCGTTGGCATCCCTCAGCCACGGGTGCTCTGATGGCCGCAGGCGGTGGGGAAGGGCGAGAGGGAGTTGGTGGGAAGTGGGGAAAAGTGAGGGAGTATTTATGAAGTGCGCCAAAAGGCGCCTCGTTGGTATCCCTCAGCCACGGGCGCTCTGATGGGCGGTGGAAGGGCAGGGGATGCGGGGAAGGAGGGGAAATAGACAGTTATGATTAATGTTCCTCTGCGGCAAGGAGGCAGGTGATCATGATTCTAGCAAACAAAAGCTACGGGAGAGGGGGGTGAGTGGGGAGAGAAAGGTGGAGAGGAGGTAGGGAAGGGGGGGGGAAGAAAGCAGAGGTAGGAGCAGAGCGGAGCACTTGCTTGGAGCACTCACGCAGCACTTGCTGAGCGGTGTGGCGCTTGGAGGTACCGGGCTGGGGCATGAGTATGTCAAGGTGCTTGGCGCCGTCCGACACGACACCTTGGGATTGGCACATGAGCATGAGTGCACCTCACAGCAGGACTCACGGAGGCACGCAGCGGAGGGGAGCGGTCACGGAGGCAGGGGGGAACGGAGCACTCACGCAGCACTTGTTGTGCGGTGGGGCGCTTGGAGGTGTCGGGCTGCAGCATGAGCATGACGAGGTGCTTTGCCCCGTCCGACACCTTGGGCCATGGGTCCCGCTTCAGATCCACCTGCGACCGCAGCACCGCCTGCGCCACTCCCTGCTCCGTCTCTGGTGCCGTGGAGGGGTGGGGGGTTTGTTGGAGCGGGAAGGAGAGGGGGATTGAGGAGAGGGGAGGGGGAGGGGGGGGGTGGGGGGGAAAGGGAGGAGAAGGGGGGGAAGAGGGGGGAGAAGGGGGGTCGGGTGTGAGGGGGGTGAGAGGGATGAGGGAATTGACAATGGCGTGGGGGGGTGAGAGGGATGAGGGAATTGACAATGGCGTGGGGGGGTGAGAGGGATGAGGGAATTGACAGTGGCGTGGGGGGGTGTGAGGGGTGAATGGGTTTCCAGTGAGCAGTACAGCATGAGTACTTGCCTGCCCAGAAGGGGGGCACGCCGCAGAGCAGGATGTAGAGAATGACGCCGGCGCTCCACACGTCAGCCAGGGGTCCGTAGTTCTTCCTTAGCACCTCGGGCGCCATGTAGTACGGGCTGCCCACGATCTCGCTCAGCGTCTCGCCCGGCTTGAACATGATAGACAGCCCAAAGTCGATGGCTCGCAACGCCGCGTCCTCCTGGTTGTTCGCGAACAGGAAGTTCTCGGGCTTTAAGTCCCGGTGCATCACTCCGTGTTTGTGGCACACCTGGAAGGGAGGGGCGGGGCGGGTTGCAGCGATGCAAGGCGTTTCGAAGTTTTCCTCCTTGCTAGCAGGGTTGGGCTTAATGGCTGGTGCAGACTCCGTGATTGTGGGACGCATGGGGCGGAATGGGGTGGCGTGGAGGACACGCAAGGTCTTTTGGATGTTTCAAGGGAGGTGAAGAGAGGGTGGCCTAGGCGCAGTGTAAGAAGTAGGAGTTAGGATGCACACTGCAGTTTTAAAGTAAAGAGGCTTTGTGCGTGCCCTTGACCATCTTGTTGCGATTCTTTACTTTGTCTCCAAAACTCTGCCTCCCGCGCCTATCCCATTCCGTCCCACTCCGTCGTACCATTTCTGAACCGTTTCCGTTCCATCCTTTTCTCTTATACCATTTTCTATTCCCTCCCACTCCCCTTCCGTTTTTCGTTACCAGCACACGTCCGAAGCACACTCACCGGCGCCAATCCCGCTCACCTACACACCACCATTTCCACCCACCAGTACTCCAGTGCTCCTAACACTCACCAGCGCCTTTCCCGCTCACATGCATTGCACCATCCCCACCCGCCAGAACTCATAACACTCACCAGCGCCCTTCACACGCACCTGCACCACCTCCACGATAGTCCGTGTGATAACCGCCGCCGCTCGCTCGCTATAATGCCCCCTCGCTATAATCCGCTCGAACAGCTCCCCGCCTTCGCACAGCTCCTGAACGATGTGAACCGCGTGCCGATCCTCAAATACCCCTTTAAGTCCCACGATGTTAGGGTGCGACGGTAAGTGGTGCATAATCGCCACCTCCCTCCGCACATCCTCGATATCCACGGCCGTCTTTAATTTCCGCTTAGGAATAGACTTAACGGCCACCTGCTCCCCGTTTGCCTTGCTAGTCGCGAGACACGTCACGCCGAACTCGCCGCGCCCTAACTCTCGACCCAAGACGAAAAACTCCGCAATGGATCGGTCTACCATTTCCGGGAAGGGGTTGTGGAGAACGACGTCGTTTCGCGGCTGCGAGGGAGGACCGTCGGATTGGTTTGGAACCGCTGTAACGGCGGATGCTGCTGAGGAGTTCTGGTGAGGCGCGACATTGCTAGGCGGAGGCGGCTTCTGCTGCTGCTGCTGCTGCTGCTGTTGCTGCTGCTGCTGCTGTTGCTGCTGCTGAGGCTGATGGTGTTGTTGTTGTTGTTGCTGCTGTTGCTGCTGTGGAGTCTGCGCTACGTAGTCTGAACAATCGGTAGTTCGCGGGGCCTCTTTTCCCGCGCAAGCGCCCATTGGATACCTACCTAAGAGGCTGATGACAGCTAGAGGTGGACAATGAAAAGTTAGTGGTGAGTTAGGTTTGTTAAGCTTATACGCATATCGGGTCAACGATAAACAGGCTCGACAGGCTAGACATCTGACCGCTTAAAGGTCGGTATTGTTGACTATTAAGCGGCCCGACTAATTTTTCTGGTCAACATTTCGGCACAAAGACAGGCACCAATCGACATGCAGCGACTCCAGAAAACCGCAGGTATCTGAAACAATGTGGCACCTATCGATAGCGAGTGACACCAACAGTTCGTTCTCAGGTTATCTTGCAGGTCTGGTCCTAGTTTAGGCTACGAAAGGCGGACCCAATATAGTTGACCAGAACAAGTAATTACCTGCCTAAACTGTAGGAGGCTAGACTGTAGGAGTCAGGGAAGTGGAGTTCGTTGGAGCGTTACCGTTGTGGTTCAGAACCACGACGGGAAATTACTGACGGAGTGCGAAGGACAACGGAGGGAGAATGACAAAATTGAGATTTCCCTCCAACGGAGGATAGAATCGAGGCTTCAGTGAAGTGACACAATTGGACGGTCCTGTCCCGACACGTCCGGGATCCCCTCGATAATGTGGTCCACTGGGAATGTGCTTGGAGACTGCCAAATGAAACCTGGAACATGATTGTTCAAAGTACAAGCGTACATTGCATCATATATTCTGGATCCCCATTCTAGATTTATTTAATTTCTTAAGGATCCATTGAAATCCTCACATGAACATATGCACAGATACGTTTTGATTAGACGCCTGGCTTCGTATTTTTGCAGTCTGCAACAGTCATAACTTTTATGGCGCAACTTCAGATGATCTGCCCAAAACCAGGTGCCGCAGCTTACGGAAAGCAGCCTGCAAATAGGTCAAGCGAAAATAATATTAAACAATAACAGTGGGAAAAACAAAACAAAAAACAAGGTACAAGAATCCTACAATGGATAGCAGCACACACACATGATGCGTACCTTAGTTTTGCTTTGAGTTCGTCGCAACCAATGCTGACCAGCTTCTTCTTGCCCACCGCCCACACAGGTTCCACCCCACCAGTCCCTGCCCTGAACCTTCCTCAGCACTGCTATCAACTCATTGTCCTGTCTCTCCGCTTCGCTACAGTCACAATCACTAGTCTCCTCACTAACATAATCACTCTCAGAAAACCCCCCTGCGTCATCCTCAGTCCCATCAGTCTCTCCCTCCTCTCCCACAAACTCATCAAACCCTGCCACCTCCTCCCCTCCTCCCATGGCTGCCTCTGCCAACTCCTTGAGAATAAAATCCATATCGTCCGCCCGAACGCCAATCCACTGTAGGCCTTTACTGGAGCGACAGGCAGCTTTGGTCTTAGGGGGACTGCTGCTGACTTTGCTCATGCTATTCTCTAAGGAATCTGCAGCAATCCCAGCAGCAGCAACAACAGCGCCAGTGGCTTCAGCAGCTACCTTTTCCTGCTGCCGTCTCTGCCGCATCTCGGCAAACATCACGCTGAAGCCCTTATCCTCCGCACCCGCATTGTACTTCAACGCAGATGACATGGTGGGGGGGACAGCCCTGCCCCTAGACTGCGAGGAAGCAACACTGCATGGAGGACGTGGGGCTGCTGCAACGCGCAATGCCGCTCTGCCCATTCCGCCCATTCCGCCCATTCCGCCAGGGCAGCAGGGAACTACACTTCCAACCACACTTCCACAAGCACTTCCAACCACACTTCCACCTGCATTTCCAGTCAGCGACTTGTCATTCTTCCCGGCATCAGTCTCAGTCATATGTGCCACGGTGCTGTCAGGGTGAGCATGCGGCGCGGTCATGCTGGCAGGGCATGCACTCGCACATGATGAGCTGCTGACCGGCTCTGCGCTGCTCTCAGCGCACGCTGTCTCAATCTTGAACCTCGCTTCACCTGTCCCGACCGCTGTATGCGCTCCCCCAGAGGCTTCCGCCTGACGCTCACCCCCGCTGCTTTCCTTCATGCGCCCCGCACTCGACACCACTGGCGCATCTTGCGCACCTGGCGCGGGAGGCGCACCTAGCGCAGTCGGAGCGACCGCGGATACCTCCGCAACTGAGACGATTGGCGCAACTGGCGCAGGTTGCGAAGACGGCGCAAGCGGGGCGAGGCCAGGCTGGCACAGCCCGAGCAGCTGAACCACCTCCTGGCGGCACAGCCGACTGTGCTCTAATAGCGCCAGCACTGACGAGTCGTCCCAACATCTATCCGCCGCCGCCGCGTCCTGCGCGCGCGACCCTCTCCGCCCCGGGGTTGCTGATGCGCCGCCGCCTCCACAGGGGAATGCGGAGGGGGAGCCGAAGGGGGAACCGAATGCGCCGGATGCGCGCACGGGGGAGGAGGGCGCGCTGTTGCTGCTGTCCATGAGCTGGCGCGAGACGGAAATGCGGAGGCTGCGCGAGTTGCGCAGCCGCTGGCGGACCCGCTCCGCGGCCTCGCTTGGGGAGGCTTCGCCGCTGGCTGCGCCTGGAGCGGAAGTGCAAATCTCCACGGGAACCGGCGAGTGAAAGGTGAAGGAATACCGAGGAAGGGGAGGCGAGTCGAAAGACGGCGATTCGCTTCCGCTATGTTCGTCACGAGGACGCGACGGCGACGCGCACTCGGTTGTGCGATGTGTCGCAAGCGAGCTAGAACCGTCGGCATCGTTAGCGGCGATTAACGCGTCTGTAGATTCAGCACCGGAATCGGAGGCTTGCAGCGACGAGCTGGCGGAGAGAGGGAGCAACGGCGGCGGCGGAGGCATGTTGAGTTGGTCGAGCTGGGATGAGTTTAACAGCACCGGCAGCTCCCTTCGCTTGCTCGCATTCTTACTGCTGCCGCCGCTGCTTCCGCTGCTGCCGTTGCTACTGCTCCTGCTAACGGTTTTTCCGCTGCTCCTACTGCTGCTAGCTGCAAGGAACCCGCCTTTCCGTCCCTGGCTGATTCGCCGTTGCGGAAGGATCGGCGCCCATTGCGGGAACAGACACGTGTCTGCCGCTAGAGACACGGGGGACAGGGCTGACGTGGACGCCAGGATTCGGTCCACGTCATAACGGACTCCTGCGCTCACGTCTCTCGTAGTCGAAGGAAGGCTGTTGTCGTCACCATTGCAATCGCTGCTCGAACCTCGAGAATGCCGAGATTCTGTATGAAAGGAAGAGGCGGAAACGTCGGAAGCGGCGGAGGCGGCGGAGGCGGCGGAAGGCGTCGAGGACAATGGGGGGAGAGAAAAAGTGGCGGAGTCGAAAGAGGCGGCGTCAAGGAGCAGCGAATGCGGGGAAGGAGGCCCGCGGGGCTTCTGGCGGAGAAGCGCGAACTCGTGGGTGTACTTTAATCGACGGTCCGACGCGTCGCCCTGGCTGTCATCGTGGTCGTCGAGCGCCCAGTCGCCGAATGCGGGGATGCGCGAGATGCGCGCAGTCATGGCGATGCGCTATCACCGCGGCTGCTTGCGTGCGTACAAAACAAGTCAATGAGAGATCGAGCAGTGTGGGATTTATAAGGAGGAGAATGCAACTGATTGTTCACAAGTCCGCAGCAAACGAAGAGCTAGTTGGGGTTGTGATTGTGAATGTGGTTGACGGATGGCTGGAACCAGAAAACACGGCTCCCACCCATGACAAGCAAAAAAATCTAGAGTTTTCTCGTAGCGCCGACCAAATGCGAAATGCGGGTTGATGTAGGATGGATGGAATGGAGGATGGACGCTGGAGGAAGAGGTAGGCGCGAATTCGGAAGTGCGGGTGCTGCCGCTGTAACGGATGACGGCGGGGCTGTTGGTGGTCGGAAGGGGGCCAGCCGGGTGGGCTTCTGCGAAGGGCTGGGCTGGACCCTGGAAGGTGATGCTGTTCCTGTCGCAATTTTCGCTGAGGTCGCTACCTGACTTCACAGAAATGACCCGCGCGTTTCACTTCGTTTGCAAGAGCTTTCATCAGCGAGAGTGGCGGAGTGCCAGCTTTCGTGGATCATGCGCGCGTCGCACTAGCTTCGCACGGATTGGTCAGAAAAGAGGAAAGCACAAGAGCAGAATCAACAGCTCACCCCCTGATTTATTGATATAACCTGCAGACAATAACAACTGTACCATTGAAGCAACCTTAAATGGAAACTGGATATGAAACACAAACTACAAATCATCGTTCAGAAGGACGACAGTTCGCCCTTTAGTGGTCCTTGGTGATTAGAAAGCACACAGGAAGATGGCTACATGTTCACCCCCTTCACAGCTGGATGCACCTGCTCGAACATGTTAGACTGAACGGAACTCGGCTGCACTAATGTACTGGGCCAAGTCTGACAAACTAGGTTATAGGCTAGGCTGGTGCTGAAGGTCTCGCAATCAGAGCCTGGCCTGTGGTCTGGCTATTTACAGAACGAATCACATCGCTTGCATGCTTCCTGTTTACCTCAGATCAGAGACTTACATGTCCCTGGAGGTTGGCTCGAAGTGCTCCTGTAGGAGGTGCACGGACGGCGGGATGCGAAGTGAGAAGCGGTGCGTGTGTGTGCTGACCGGTGCAGGGCCCCAGGTGGTGAGGGACATGCTTAAAACCCTCTCACCCACTCCTGCTCCTGCCGATTCCACCTGCCGTTGCACCTTCTGCTCACACACCCGCTCCTGCCCTGCCTCCGCCTCCTCCCCATCAGGCTCTCTTCTAAAGGGCTTCTGCTCCACTGGCTGCATCAACAAACCGCTGCCTGAATTGTGCTGCTCATGCTGCCCTGTGTGCCCTGTGTGTGCTCTCTTCTCTGTGTGCCTCGTGTTCTCTATGTGTTCCCTGGTAGCAGGAGAACCAGGCGGTGCAGCATGGGAAGTGGACACACAGAAGTTGATGGTCATGCTGCCGCCAGCAATGAGGATGCCTGCCCCAGGTAGCACCTGCACATGACCACCCACAGGCACAACCATGATGTGTTGAGGGCAGCAAACTCAGAAGAGCATTCAAAAAACCAGCCACTGCAGTATGTTTGGCTTTGGGAGATTCCAAGAGACAATCAAGCACCAGAATTGAGGAGGAGCGATGCATGCAGGTGTAGTACCTTGAGCCAGAGGGGGAATCCACCACCTGCCCGCACCATCTGCCCCCTCTGCCGATCCCCTCGCCCGCTGCCACCGCTGGTGCCTCCCAACACGCCCTTCCCTCCTTCACTCCCCTCATCCCTCCCTCCCCCAATCGCTCCCTCTTCTTCTTTCCTTCCAGACTGGAGAACAGTCTCCCCCTCACACTGCACTATGAACCCCATAGAGTCACTTTCGTTACGATTCATTACAATCACCGAAGCCTGCCCGGTCGACGGATCCACATCCACACACGTGCCGGCAGCTGGCACGTCGGGCAGGTGGTGCGAATTTTGCAGCGCTGCCCGGACCTGCGAGCTGAGAGTAAGAAGCCGCCCGAGCAGGCACCTTGTAGCAGGCAGATCAACAGAAGCAACGGAGACGTCTAAGAGGCATCTGACGGGCTTGTGGTCGCTCTGAATGGCCTCCATGCACGCGTCATAGCGCAACACATGGGCCTTCACTGGCTGCGCCAGCGTGCACTCTTGCTGCTCCTCAGTCGCTCTTTGAGGTGCGCTCACACTCGAGCTCACAGTCAGACCGGCACCAGGAGCAGCAGGAGCGGACGCACCAGCAGAAGGAGCAGGAGAAGCACCAACAGGTGCCTGGGAGCCGACATTCCCATCATCCTTACTCGTTCTGCTACCTGCTGGGCCTTCCTTACCATCCAACCCTGCTGCTCTATCATGACCCAGTGTCGGGCTGACCTCATCATCATTATCACCTGCCTCTTCGTCTACCAGTGCAGTGGTTGCCAGTGTTGCTGCAGTGCATGGTTCTGCTGCTGCGGGGCCTGTTGCTGCTGCTACTGCTGTAGAAGGAGGAAGCGCGGATGGTGAAGCGATAAGTGACTGAGAGGTGAGAGTGGAACTAGGGCCACATTTAGGGCTGCTCATATGGTTGGGGCTGGGGGTGCGGTTGGGACTGGTGGTAGTGGGAGTGGGAGGAGAAGCAGGAGGATACAGAGGCTGAGAGTGGTGATTTGGGGCGGCAGGCATGGAGAGAGAGAGAGGCAGAGAAGGCGCGAGGATGGGCGCCAGAGTGGGCGGCAGCATGGGCGGCAGGCTTGGAGTGAAGCTGTCACGGAAGAGCACTCGGTCGCACCAAGCAGGCACACGGCGTTTCTCCCCCGAGTCATACGCTGTCATGCAGGGTGTGGGGTGCAGAGGCAGAGCGTGGAGCACAGAGGCAGGGCACGGGGCAGAGAGGCAGGGCACGGGGCAGAGAGGCAGGGCGTGGGGCGGGGCAAGGGTTGGGCAAGGTAGGAAGGGAGACGGGGAGTTGAGAGTGAGCTTTGCAAAGAAGGCACAATGACGAGGCCGGTTGGTTACAAGGATCTGACAGTGCCTAACCCTAAATCCATGCACAGAATTGGGTAATCTTGGAAAAAAAAGCTGGGGAAAACAACAAACAAACAAACAAACAAACAAACAAACAAACAAACAAACAAAAAAACCTGGGAAGAAAAACACATACCCAGCGGATCGGGTGTGCCGCGATCAAACTTGTAGGTGGGAGGAAAGGCAATGAGCCCTTCCTCCATGCCTCGGAACGCACGCCCGCACATGAGAAAGCCTCTGACTACCCATGCACACAAAAGAGGAGGGAAGGGGGGGTCTCACCCAGCGGATCGGAGGTCCCACGGTCGAACTTGTAGGTGGGAGGAAAGGCAATGAGCCCTTCCTCCATGCCTCGGAATGCACGCCCGCCCGCCATCTCTCTGAGCAGTTGGTCGCTCGCCAGCAGGGCAGGCAGGTTGCGTGCCGCCACCTGGTGCCGCGCATGCTCGTGTGACACACCCTCCACCCGGTAGTTGAGATCGCCCATCCACACTAGGAGGTCCGTCTCTGCTAACTCTGGCGTCTTCATGTCCTCCAGGTCCTGAAGAGAGGACGGGAGAGGTGGAAAGGGGTGGGGAGAGGTGGGAAGACAGGAGGTACGGAAAAGCTGTCCGCCACCCACTTAGCGCCCCACTTGGCGCCCCCACTTAGCGCCCCTACTTAGCGCCCCACTTGGTGCCCCCACTTGGCGCCCCCACTTAGCGCCCCCACTTAGGTTTGAGGTGCAGGTTTGAGGTGCAGGTTTGAGGTGCAGGTTTGAGGTGCAGGTTTGAGGTGCAGGTTTGAGGTGCACCCCCACTTAGCACTCACTCACACAAGCAGGTCCAACCACGAGCTCCAATGCAGGAGAGATGGGGAGTCTAGAGTCTATTCTTGAAGCGCCTCAGAGAGAAATGTTGAGAGATGAAGGTAGGGAAGGGTTCGGGACTTGGGACGAACAGGTTGCAAACGAGGGAGCGATGCACAAGGAACCCCTAGGATTGCAAAGTGCATACTGTTTGACTCTCTTCCGAGTCTTCCCTCCTCGCTCCACACCTCTCTCCCCTCTCTCTCCCCTACTCTCTCGCCGCCCTCCCCTCTTCCCACCCCTATCCCTCCTCTCTCCCCTCCCGCTCCCCACCCCTATCCCCTCCGCTCTCACCTCCTCCCCGTCCCGGCCAATGACCAGGTCGTCCATCCATGACGTGGCATCGTCCGACCAATCAAATTTCCCGCCCACTGACTCCACAGTTTGCCGCCCACTCCCGAACGCGCCCCTTTTTGGACTTATCCCCGGCCCCACCCCTCCCGCTCCTGCTGCTGCCCCTGCTGCCCCTCCTGCTCCTCCCCCTCCTCCTGCGCCCCCCATCCCCCCTGCTCCTGCTGCCCCTGCTGCTGCGCCTGCCACTGCTCCTGCTGCTCCTGCGGCTGCTGCTGCTGCCCCCACAGCAGCCCCTGCTGCAGCCTTCACTATGCCCTGCACTGCTGACTGCAGCCCAGCTGGTTGGGTGCACAGGAAGGGGGGCAGGGGGGTACCAGGGAGATGGAAAATGTAATTCAATACGACTCAATATTAACCCTAAACCCGAAACCCTAAACCCTCTTAAAGCCCTCGTACACAGCCCATCACTCCGTAAGAGTATAGAACCCACCTTTCAAGCCGCCCCTAGCAGGTTTGGCAGCAGAGGAGGCAGCAGAAGCGAGGGTAGTCTGAGGGCGGTAGAAGGAGAGGTGGCGGTAATTGCGACGCCAGTTGTTATTCCTCGGAGGCCATCACAACATAACCGCAACTTAACACTCTTAAAGCCCTTGTGAACAGCCCATCACCCTATGAGAGTATAAAAGTCACCTTTCAAGCCGCCCCCAGCAGCTTTAGCAGCGGAGGAGGCTGCAGCGAGGGTGGTTTGGGGGCGGTAGAAGGAGAGGTGGCGGTAGATGCGGCGCCAGTCTTCGTTGCGCTTCGCCACGCCCTCCATGTGGGCGGCGAGATGGCAGCTGAGGACTGCCACACTGCGCCCACACACACTCATTCGTACTGCTACTGCTCCCTGCGAGAAAGAGAGGAGGGCAGGTAAGGTGTGGGTGGGGGTTATGGGTTGGTGCCATTCCTCGTTGCGCTTCGCCACGCCCTCCATGTGGGCCGCGAGATGGCAGCTGAGGAGAGCCATGCTGCGCCCACACACACTCATGCGCACCGCCACCGCTCCCTGGGGGGAAGAGTGGGGGCCGGGTAAGGTGTGCACAGCAGGGGGGGTTATGGACCATGGTTTGGCACAAGTCACTACCTCCCCTGGTCACGCCCTCCATGTGAGTGAGCCGCAAGATGGCAGCTGAGGAGAGCCATGCTGCGCCCACACACACTCATGAGCACCGCCACCGCTCCCTGGGGGGTAGAATTGGAGGTAGGTGTAGGGGACAAGAACGATTCCCCTACAACAAACAGCACCGGTGCGCCATGTTTGTGCAACTTTCAATATTTTTACTCAAACTTGACTTGACTACGAGGATTTTTTTATAAGCGTCATCTAAAGAAGGTTTTTTTCTGCCGCCATTTGCTCACCTTGTTGCCCAATGTGCGGCCAAACCCCCGAGGCACAGCCCCCACCTCCACATCCCGAATGAGATGGGCAAATGACGCCCTTGCCCTGTGTGACACAATGAGAACAAGGGGAGTCAGAAGGGAGTTTGGGGAGATACAAGGAAGGCATCGACCAGTGCTGCAACCAGAAATACTGTTTTCTAAGGTATGCTTGCTGGATAAACGCATGTGTGCTTTGAGGTAACCTGCTCTGTAGCCTTCCCCAACACGCACTCATACACACTCAAACACACTCCTGCGCACACTCTCTCCCACACTCACCACACAGTGATGAGAATCCCCGCCATCTGCCTCGAGACAATCCGCACAAACGCCCCTCGGGACGCCAGAGCAGCGCCACTTGCCGCCACCCAGTGCGCCACTCACATGCACTCTCCTTCATACACTCTCTCCCACACACTCACCACACAGTGATGAGAATCCCCGCCATCTGCCTCGAGACAATCCGCACAAACGCCCCTCGGGACGCCAGAGCAGCGCCACTTGCCGCCACCCAGTGCGCCACTCACATGCACTCTCCTTCATACACTCTCTCCCACACACTCACCACACGGTGATGAGAATCCCCGCCATCTGCCTCGAAACAATCCGCACAAACGCCCCTCGGGACGCCAGAGCAGCGCCGATCGTCGCCACCCAGTGGGCCCCCAGCGCCGACCCGCGCTCCTGTAGCCCCAGACGCACTGACTCCTTGGCCGCTGCTATGGCTATCGCCCCCGCATTCATCTCCACCTCCTGCAACCCCACTGCTACTATATCCGCTCCTCCCCCTCCTACCCCATTCCCCACATCCGCTGCTCCCCCAACCCCATTCCCCATGCCCGTCCCATCCGCCCAGTCTGCTCCCTCTGCTGCCTCCTCGCCCTCGAGCCTGTCTCCTGCCACCTCCCCCAGCCACGCCTCCACACTCCTCTGCACCGCTCTCTCCTCCCCGACGTTCCACGTGCAGGCAGCCAGGCGGAATCTCTGCCGGGAGGTGAAGAGGGCGGAGGAGGAGGAGAGGGTGGCACGTAGTGCCGGGTCCACGGGGCCTGGAATGGCGGCTAGCCATGCACTCACCTGCCCTGTGCGGGACACACACACTATGAAGCTGCTGCACCGTGCCAGCTGTCGGATCGCTGCTGGTGTCGCCGCTGCAGCCGCTGCCGCTGTTGAGGCCTGGGAGGAGAGGGTTGTGTCATCCGAAGGGTTGGGCGGATCTGATGTCATTCCAGTGGACCAGGAAGGGGATGCTGCTGCTGCTCCTGCTGCTGCTGCTGATGCTGCTGCTCGTGCGGCCTTGGCTGCTGCTTTGGAGCATGGTGGGTGAGAGTGAGCCTGCCATGCCCCGATCTGCCTCCCTGTGCGTACATGCAGCACTGTGATGCTTCCATCTGCCGTGCCCACCCATAGCCGCAGCCCCACCACACAGAGACAACACACGCCGCCCTCCATCACCACCTCTTGCAGTTTGCCGCCCGCCCAGTCGTAGTGCCTCAGCATGCCCGACCCGTGCCCGATCCACACCGTGCCGTCGCCAGCTGGCGCGACCGCGTGGAGCTTGCGCTTGGGGGGGCGGGAGGAGGAGGAGGAGTAGGAGGAGGCAGAGGAGGAGGAGGTGGAAGACAAGGGTTCGTCGTCACCCGGTGGTGGCGCTGCTGCCAACACTGGCGCTTCACCAATGCTGCTGGCAGTGGGGGCTGAACCAATAGATACACTAGAAGCGATAGAGGCACCACCACCATTCGTGGCACTAGCAGCGCCAGTAGCACTGTTGGCAGGAGCTGTGGCGCTGCTGGCTGTAGCGGATGTAGCGGCTGTAGCGCTGCTGGCCCCAGAGGCAACAGCGCCAGAGGAGGTATCCGCAGCTGCCCTCTCCTCGTCCTTCACCTTCACATGACACACCAGCGCTCGCTTCCTCGCATCCCTGGAAGGGTAGGTGGACGGGAAGGTGGAGACAGGGGAAACCAAGGGATTGGACAAACCCCAAACCTGAGGGTGCTCCAAGAGTGAAAATTTTGGAAGAAAGGGCTTTGCGGGAAGACTTTGCCCTTTCTTCTCCACTTGCAGAGCGTAAGAACATGCAATTTATGGGGCTTGTTTGAGAAGGTGGGAGGGCATGAGCTCACCAGATGGAGATGGAAGCAGCTCCAATGCTCCACACCTGCCCCGTTGCCGGGTCTGACACGAGTCGCCGCACAGACGTCACTCCATACACCACACCCCCACTGCCTCCCTCGCCCTCACCCCCAGTCCCAGCAGCAGCGCTGCTGCCACTGCCCCCCCCACCACTGCTTCCCGTTGCAGCAGCTACACTCCCATTGTCACTCCCGCTGCTCTCTGTTGCATTGACAGGAGCATTCCGTCCTGTCCCACCAGCTGCTCTCAAATCATCCCCGCCGGTGTCACCATCAGCAGTAGCAGAAGCTGAAGCAGACGCCACTGCAACTCGGTTCCGTGGCAGCTGGCCGTTAGACGAGGCAGATGAGGGCGCGTGCAGGAGCACAGGCACGGAGGCAGGGCATATCACACACGGAGCACGAAGGGGAGCAGTGCTGCTGAGAGGAACAGTGGGTGTCGGCGTGGCCAATTGGCTGAGCGAGGATGAGGCTCGGGAGAGCTCGCTGCATAGGCTGGGCCAGGGCCACGCCTTAATCACGCCCCTGTCCCCAGCAGACCAGAGCTCACCATATGAAGTGACTACCAGGGCTGTCACAGTGGTGGTGTGCGCCTGCCACTCTGCCACCAGCTCCGCCCATACCTTCCACCCTGGCTCCTTCTCCCCTCCCCCAACGCCCATGTCGTCCCTGCCCATCGATGCTCCCCCTCTACCCTTCACCCCCCATCCTCCTCTTTCCTCCGCTCGTCCTCCTCGCTCACCCGCACAGCTATTACCCTGTGCTGCTCCTTCGCCCCCTGCCGCAGCACCCTCTCTCTCTGCTCCCCTCTCCCGCACCCTCCACACCAGCACCCTTCCATCCCTGTGCCCCGTGAAAACCATCCGTCCCTTAACATCCGCTGCAATGCTCTTGGCTGCAGATACACCTGCCCCGAATGGCACCCAGAAGAACGCAGCTGCCTCTTCATCCCCTCTTGGGTTTCCTAGTCCCGAGGCCCCCTGTGCAGTCATCACGTGTTGGATATCCCACACCCTGATCCCATCATCTGTAACCAGGAAAATGGAAGAATCTAGGGTAACTAGCAGGCATGTTCGGCTGCCATGGGGGATCCCTTGGGGCAGGGTCCCAGATCGAGGGCGTGGACGGATCGACAGGGCGATTGGACGGCTGGGATCGACTGGGACACGCACAGGTGGGCCGTAGACAACCTTATCCAGCTTGGGAGGGCGTGCGGATTCACCAGCGGCGATCGGGACACTGTAATTCCGGGCCATGCCAGGCGGAAGGAATCGCAGCCCCCCTGCTCCTCCTCCTCCCCCTCCCCCTCCTCCCCCTCCTGCTCCTCCTCCTACTCCTGCTCCTCCTCCTACTCCTGCTCCAACTACTCCTCCCTCGCCTTCTCCTCTGCCCAGATCCAAAGGGGAAGCGCCAGAGCCTCCTTTTCTGTCTCTGCGCCGCCCATTCAAGCCTCTCATGAACGTGAATCCCGCTTCACCCCCGCGAGCGGACATTCTCTTGTCCACTGCCTTGGAGATTTTTGAATGCAGCCGCACCACCCCAGCCCCTAAACCTTTCCCCGGCCCCTCCTCTTGCCCTCGCTCGCCCTCCTCAGCGTCCTCAACCCCCTCTGCTTCTGCGTCCGTGCCCTGTATGGCTGAGGTTGGTGAAATTGTTGACTTGTGTTGACAGGGTTCCGTCACGCTCCGGTCCAACGCATGTGGAGGTGAGGTATAGAAGCAGTCAGACGAGCCATCGCTGAGAGGGGACAGTGGATTGGAAGGGGATGACTGTCCTGTGTTAGCCTCCACCTCCTGCTGAATCTGCCGCTGCTGCTGCTGCTGCTGCTGCTGCTGCTGCTGCTCCCTCCAGCTACGTGTGTCTACGGTGGTTCCACAGGCAACAGCCAGGGCCACCAAGTCACCACCAGGCTGAGGGGTGCCCGTCTGCCTGCTATGCTCTGCCACAGTGTCGCTACTGGTCCTGTGCAGCAGACTGCTTGCAGTGTCACTCGTGACTCTATGACTACTGTTAACCGCACCACAGTCGCTACCATTGCCAGCACCACCGCCACCGGCAGCAGCAGCAGCACTGATGCGGCTGTCGGAGCGCTTGTGTGCCTTGGAGAAGAACCTGAAGCCCAGCTGAGGCGACCGCGGCCGCTGCTGCCGCTGATCTACCACGGGTTCCGAGGCACATGAGGGGTACTCCATAATGCCCACGTCTTGCTGCTGCTGATGCGGCTGCAGCTGCTGCTGATGCACCTCGCTCTGTGTGCCATCTGTGGTGCGATGCCCTTGAGTGTAACTAGAAGCACGGTTAATGGCATGGCTGGCGTGTAACGGTGGCGAGGTTACATGTGAGCCTGGCTTGAGGGAGTGCTGGGGTTTGGCCGACCAGAGAGGAGAGGTGAGCGGGCTGGGAGAAGGTGACGGGGGAGTGGTGGATAAAATCCGGGGTAAATCACCCTGTTTCGGATTTTCAAATGGATCGCCGAGAGTAGGCGTCTGCTGCTGCTGCCACCGTTGGTACCCCTGTTGCGGTGACTGCTGCTGCATTCGTTGCTGCTCCCCCTCCGTCCCCTGTGGTTTAGACATGGCATAAGCTGCTGCACTTTCCCGCAGCGCCAGGGCCTCAGACTTGCCGGCTGAGTGACGCCTACCAATCCTCTTCAGAAACCGGAACGGGTCACTGGTAAGGCTCCCGCTCCCTCCTAGTCCCTTCCTTTCAGCACTCGCAACAACACTGCTGGAGCTAGCAGTCGCGGCTTTTGCACCTGCAGCATCACAGCGACCTCCATCATCAGCCTCAATACCAGCACCACTGCTGTCACTGACAGAAGCAGCAGGAAATAGATTAGCGTCACCAGCAACAGAAGCACCACCAGGGCTTTCAGTTCCAGCAGCAGAAACTAACTCTCCTGCAGCACCGGCAGCAGCAGCAACCGCACCGGCAGCACCAGCAGCAGCATCAGCATCAGCATCAACAGCCCCATCCGCGGTACCGCTCCTCTTCGCCTCCCTCGCCTCGAGAGCAGCAGCGAAGAGAGCCTTCTTCCGGTTACCAATGACGATTGGCCCGCTGTGGTGCAGGCGACGCGGATGCGAGATGTCTTGCCTGGGCGAGGGCGATTGAGAGCCGTCAATTGCGTCCGCATCAGTAGATATCGGAATGAACTTCTGATATATTACTTTGCTCATGCCTTCCAGAAACCCATAGCCGCTTGCAGAATCGCTGTGGGGGACGTCAGAAACCTGAGCAGCGGAACGTTCCTTCATAATTTGAACGGGTGCTGTCACAGCTTCTGCAGGAACAGCAACGGAATCAGAAGTAGAAGAATCTATCGCAGATGAAGACAGGGAAGGCAAGTTGTTATCTGAGAGGGTAAAATGGATGGGTCTTTGTCTGCCTGAAGCGTTCATGAGAGGGTCTGATGCTGTTGCCGCTAGCGGACGCTCAGTCACGCCAGACGGGGAACCGAAACCGTCAGCGATAACGACGGATTCTGGCAAGCTTGTCAACGCGCTCTCCCTCTTCGACGGGGCTAACGAGACCCTTGGGGTACAGATGCTTTCCATGTCTTGAGTTGGCACGGCTGGTTTAAATGAAATGGCATCAAAACCCTCCTTTGGAAAATGCATGTTATCAGAAGCAGCAGGAGAGGGGTTGTCAGGAGCCGAAGAGATGTTGGCGACCTCGCGATCCTTGGCGAAGGAGATTTCGCCAATGCCGCCGATACTGCGAACAGTATTGAAGGTCCCCTCGCTACAAGACCAGTTCATCCTGGAAATGTTGCGATCTGGTCAAACCCGTGAGCTTAGGCTTTCAAGCTTATTCAAAAAAATGCACGGGTCAGGGTCAGTCGGCTCTACGAAACAGCTCAAATCCTCATGGAAGTCTGAACAGCTTCATTCTTTAGGCACGTCAAAAATAGCGACTGATTTGTCCTGAATTAAACCCGCGGTGGACTGTTAGAGTCGACGCGCAAGCCTTAGCGATTGTCTGATTCCCTCGAACTCGTTTTCAAAGGCACAGGAACCTCGGCGCGGCTTGCAGTCCTGCTAGAGACATTCATAGTCAGCGGCGCCGGCGACGATATTGATGACGAACTAAAGAATCTCGTCATCAACTGCTAGACCATGAAAACCCCATATTTCCAGCAGCGACCTACACGTACTACTTTTTACATTCCCTGACATAAATGACTGCTCAGAACAATGGCACGGTGATTTTCGAACTGTCAGGCTAGCACCACGTCTTTCAGGGACGGCTGTGTAAGCTGGAGCTATGAACCTCTTTCCAGGATGGAGTGATACGTGTGTCTCCTTTGTTCAGAAATATGCACGGGATTCCGAGAGAGAAACTTACGTTTCTAGAGATTGTCGCCATTTCCTCGTTCCTTGAAGTTAGTTGGCAATTGCGAAGGGGCCAATGGTCCCAACTCCCGACGGAACAGTGCGCATGAGGACGAAGACGGCACTTGGACTTGTTCACTACAGTAACAAGCTCTTAAAAACCACAACGAAATGCTAATTTATACCGGTAAGCCTCCCTTCTAAACTTCCCACATTTCATATTCAGCAGTGTGCCCCAACCCAAAGCTAGGTTAAGCCTGGAATGCAGCGGCATCACCTTTCTACTCTACACAAACTTACATTACGAGACATATACAGTGATCTAATGTTGACATGACATCAATCAAGCTTCCATTCCATCTATTTTGGCTTCTTACCACTACCATCTCCGCCAGCATCTGATTTCCGCTTTTTCTTCATCATTTTGGGAGTCTCCCCCTTCTCTCCGACCGGTGGTACTTCCGCCTTATCAGCAAGCTTCTTTTGCTTGCCTTTCTTCTTGGCAGACAAAGATTCTGTGACAAAGAACCACAATACACAACGCTGAGCTGCGAAAGAATACCAGATTTTAGCGCAAATAGAAGAGAATTGAGTAGAGCAGGAAGTTGGCAAGTGAGTTCAATCAGCACAGACTCACTTGAGCTTACATCTTTTAAGGCAAATTCACCTTCCCTAGAATGACTCAAGTGTCAATACATAACCATCACTGAGTACATTGCTTTGCAGTGTCAATGAGAAAGTGATTGTGTAAGGAGGCGAGCTCACCTTGAGGGGGCGTTGGAGTGGACTCAGGCTGTGGCACGGCAGCAGCAGACACACACGTTACGGAGCGAGTGATTGGCCGCACTGGCAAGAGCACGAGGAAAAGTGGTGGTAGGGATAGTGCAACGGTTGGGGAGGGAAGGAAAGAAGGGTGAGAAAGACGAGGTCAGATACTCAAGGCAACGAGTGCGAGGAGGGATGCAAAGGAGAATATTGAGTCGACTCAAAAGTCACCTCTAAATGGGGTTCGATAGGAAAGAGTAGTGAGAAAGACGAGGTCAGATACTCAAGGCAACGAGTGCGAGGAGGGATGCAAAGGAGATGTGAACACGGATGCATACGGCATGCACACATGCTCCAGCCAGTAAACCAGAAGCAGGCATACCTATGGGAGCGCGGCCGTCACAGCCAGGCAGAAGAGCCACCAGTGACACACATGCCCCAGTGACACACATGCCCCAGTGACACACATGCCCCAGTGACACACATGCCCCAGTGACTCACATGCCCCAGTGACACACATGCCCCAGTGACACACATGCCCCAGTGACACACATGCCCCAACCAGTGACTCATTGGCAGGCATACTAATGGGAGGGCGGCCGTCACAGCCAGGCAGAACCGCAACCAGACCCCCACGGGGCAGTGGGTCCGACACGAGTGCGAGCTCCTTAAAAGGTGAGAGGGTGCGGGCAGAGGGTCACAAAGATGAGCTTTGAGTCGACTCAAAGGCCATTACACACCCATGGGGCAGTGGGTCCGACACGAGTGCGATCTCATGGAAGGGTGAGAGAGTGCGCGCAGAGAGGCACAGGTAAGTGTTTTGACTTGACTCAAAAGCCACTAGACACCCACCCACGGGGCAGTGGGTCTGACACAAGTGCGAGCACCTGGGACTGAGAGAGCTAGATAATGGGGCGGAGGGGCACAGCGCGAGACTGAGGCACGTGCACAGACACCCAACGCAATGTACTGCAGGAGTTTTGGCGCGGTCAGTGCCCCATACAGCGACACAACTTACAAGCCCGACACACCTTACAAGCCCGACACACCTTACAAGCCCGCCACACCTTACAAGCCCGCCACAACTTACAAGCCCGCCACACCTTACAAGCCCGCCACACCTTACAAGCCCGCCACACCTTACAAGCCCGCCACACCTTACAAGCCCGCCACACCTTACAAGCGCTGAGAGGTGACACAATCATATCATAGCCCCGGAGTTCTGAGTCGACGCACAACCAGCCAGAGCCCCTTGCAGTGCAGTGATACAGGTGCTCAAGGGTGACACAACTATAGCCCCGGAAGAGTTTGGGGGTAATCTGAACGATACTGCTACCCCTGCAACTACCCTACCCTGCCACATCCCTGCACATCGCTCCGCACCTTCCCCTCCCACTTCCCCCCCCGCCCCCTTTCCTCCCATTCCCTCTCCCCCTCACCGAACCCAACCCCTCCCCATCCCGCTCTCCTCCCCCCCTTCAATCGCATCTCTTCCCGAGGTCCCCAAGAGCCTCACCGTAATTGGCTGGCCTCCCCAGACGAATCCTTTCCCCCCCGCTGCGCCTCTCCCCACTGCAGCTGCCCCAGGTGGCGCAAACCGGCACACCTCCACTCTCCGCCCATCCCCCTGCGCCCCCGCTTCCCCCCGTGCGCCCGCCTGCACATGCAGCTGCGCGCCGTCGAGCGCGCGGAGGTCCAGCTGCGCGGAGATGGGGGAAGGGGGATGTGCAGCGGAGGAGGAGAAAAGCAAGGGACGAGACGGGACTTTGAAAAAAAAGTCTCATCGAATTTCTAGAGGCACGCGTTACTGGGAGAAATGCATGTTATCGTAACGCGTACACTTTTGGCGTCTGGCATCTGAACGAGCCAAAGCTCCACGTCATCATCCTCGTTACTGCCATCTCCGCTTCTTCCGACTGCGCTTAGCAGCTCCGCGGCCGCCGCCATCGGCGGGCGGAGATTGTCGACGAACCCCCGCGAGGCGAGCTCCTGCGCAAGGTCCGTGTGAAGCACGGTTCCCGGCAGGACCATGTCCATACTCATCGCCATGGCGCCTGGCGCATTAAGTAACTGTCCGGTAATTAACTTCCTCGCGAGATTTATCAGCAGAAACAAGCGACGCGACGCTAATAGAAGAGTGGTTTGGTGGAGAAAGGCGACGGGAACAGAAATGCCAAAAATTCCAGAGCTGTTTTGACTGATGGTTCAGGGTTGAAGGTTTTGAGCATCATGTTTAGGTCTTCTATCCGTTATTGAATATCATCCAGCATATAGGTTTGGCTTCCATTTTTTACTCTATCCAAAACCAGCACATATGGTAGAATAAACCAGAGGGATTGGGGAAAGGAATGCAGCCCAGCTGTTACCGTAGTAAATTGATGGAATAAGTTTTCAGCCTAAAGCTGAAAGTCTACACCAACAGCAAATTAAGGTGCTTAGGCTACAATTAGGGGTTACTAAACGTAACGGTTAAGGTCAATAACCACGTCTTTGGCTGGCCGGTATATAAGGTCCAACACTCGCCACATCTGCACAAAACATACAACAATAAAACAAGCAAAGAACATGTAAAAAATGACACGGAAACTCAGCAATAATAACACAATTCTTCTCGCGGTACTCAACCTGTTGAGTCCGTCCTCCCATGGTGTGTTTCTAGTCAACTCAAAACACATAGAAACATGCATTAACTACAAAACTACCATCGTCACCCCAAGCTATCAGCGCTCACCTGTAGTGTGCCTCCTCCCCTTCTCTTGTTCACGTTGCTTGACACACTCGCGAACGTCCACGGGTCCTTCGGTGCCCACTGGAACTCAATCACTCGGTCCCTGAAAAGGGCAACACGGGGAACAAGAACAACCATTTGCTTGTGGTAGTATCAAAGAACAGGGAGCAGAAGGAAGGATGACGGCAGGAAGCAGGAAGGCAGGAGGCATGAGGGCAGGAGATATGAGGGGAGGAGGCATGAGGGCAGGAGATATGAGGGGAGGAGGCATGAGGGCAGGAGATATGAGTGGAGGAGGCATGAGGGCAGGAGATATGAGGGGAGGAGGCATGAGGGCAGCAGCAGCACTCACTGGTGGCCCACGTGTTGGAAGAGCAGTCCGGGCGGCACCCCATCAGCTCGAGACGACTTCACCGCCTCCACATGCAGCTGATGGCGCAGGAGGGGCGTAAGGGGGGCAGGAGGGTGCAGGGGGGTGCAGGGGGGTGCAGGGGGGTGCAGGGGGGTGCACAGGGGTGCACAGGGGTGCAGAGGGGCGCACGGGGGTGCACGGGGGAGAAAGGGTACACAGGGGTACACAGGGGACGCAGGGAAGGTACAGGGAGAAGGGATTTGCGGTGGTGAGGAGGGTGGACGGGGGCGGTTGGGGTTGTGAGCAACGGAAAAGGGGGCAGGGGCTTGCAACCAGGAGAAAGAAACACCGTGTGGGGCGCCTGTGAGCGACTCACCAGGGAGCAATCCCAGATGTTGACCAGTCCGTCCTCTGCACAGCTGGCAAACAGATGTTCATCGAGGGGCTTCGCCATCCCAGCCCCAGCATGGCACCATCACCATCAGAGGCACATGTGTGGCGCGAACTCACCAGCGAGCAGTCCCAGATGTTGACCAGGCCGTCCTCTGCACAGCGGGGTGATTTTTTAGTCGACTCAAAAGTCACCTCGAAAAACCTACAGGGGAGCCTGTGTGGTGCGAGTCAACTCACCAGGGAGCAGTCCCAGATGTTGACCAGGCCGTCCTCTGCACAGCTTGCGAATACCGAGGGGCTGTCGGGACACCACTGCAGGAACACAAGCAGGGAGAGTGAAGGGATTAAGAGCGGTGGAAAGGGGTGAAAGTTAATCGTTATTGTAGGCAGATGTTGACCAGGCCATCCTCTGCACAGCTGGCGAACACCGTGGGGCTGTCGGGACACCACTGCAGGCGTACAAGCACGACCATTCCAAGCACCACTCACCAGGGTTCAAAAAAACGACCGTTTTATTGAAAATTTGAACCTTGCCACTCACCATATACATGTGCAAAGCAACGAGCCGAGTTTTACTCGGCTCGTCCCTGGGCACACCCGTACGAGTAATGTCACGAGCCGAGTTTAGCTCGACCGAGTTTTTTCAGGGAAAACTCAAGCTCGTGACTCGTCTCTTGTCACGAGCTTTTTCAAAGCTCGTCCGAGCTTAGCTCGGCTCGTTGCCCTATACCAGCATGTGCATGACTAATTTTGGAAACCTGCTGCCTAATAAGATATCCTGCAAACATCAAATAAATATACCCATATCCAGACCAGGTCTTTCGCCCTGGAGAGCGTCAATTTTGGGTGGGGGATCGCAAAACCAGCCCAACGCAACGAGTGCTCGGCGAGTTTTAAAAACTCGCCGAGCAAAACTCGCCTCGGCTCGGACGAGTGATTTTCATGGAAAATCAAACTCGTCACTCGCCCTCGAACGAGTCCCTCGTACGAGCCGAGGCGAAAAGCTCGCCTCGTTGCACATGTATAACTCACCACACCACAGCACCGCTCACCTGCACGGACAGCACAGCTGCCTGGTGCCCTCCGCGGAACGCATGCGTAGCCTTCGCCTTCCCCCTCGCCTCCCCCTCCGCCTTCCCCACCGGCCCTGCCCCCAGCTTCCTCACATCAAACAACCGCACGCTCTTATCCGCGCCCCCAGTCACCACCATATGCTCGTTCCGCCCGTTCCAATCCACACAGTGCACGTCAGTATCATGCGCTTTCTCCACCCTCTGACACGGCCCCTTCTCTCCGCCTGTCCGTGCGTCCCACAGCAGCAGCCTGGAGTCGTCCCCTACGGAGCAGAACTGCTGGGAGTGCGAGGGGTGGAAGCACACGTCCTCCACGGTCGCTGTGTGCCCCTTGAACACCCCCCGGGGAGCCAGGCTTGTGGATTTCGGAGCGGATCCGAGCTTGAGTGGAGGGGAGGGAGAAGAGGACCGGGTTGGACCAGTGGGCTTGCTTGCAACGTGTGCATCTGTCTCTGCTTCATCATCACCAGCAGCACCAGCAGCACCAGCAGCACCAGCACCACCAGCACCACCAGCACCACCACCAGCACCAGCAGCACCAGCACCACCAGCACCACCAGCACCACCAGCAGCACCAGCACCACCAGCACCACCAGCACCACCAGCACCACCAGCACCACCAGCAGCACCAGCAGCACCAGCACCACCAGCACCACCAGTTGCCTCGTCAATGACCATTCCTGTTGGTGCCCCGTCAGTTGTTCCGTCTTCCTCCTTGCTTTTCCCCTCTTTCCTTTCCTCAACTGCTTTCTCCTCCTTCACCTCCTTGCTCCCTCCCCCAGCTTCCTCTCCCTCTTCCCCCCCTGCCTTATCACTCCCAACCGCATCACTCTTCCTCCCTCCCTCGCCCTCCTCTCCCCCAGTCTTATCCACGTCCATGCCCTCACTCTCTTTCAATGCCTCTGCAGGTTTACCTGCATCTACACCAGCAGGAGCAGCGGAGGCAGGTTCCTCAGCATCATCATCACCCTCTTTCTTCCCTGCTTCACTCTTGCTCCCTGCCTCCTCCCCTCCCCCGGCCGCTACTTCCTTCCCTACGCCCCCCTCTACCTTCTCTTTATCTGTCTCCTCCTTTTCCCCTGTCTCAGCTGTCTCAGCTGCCTTCCCCTCTTCGCCATTGCCTGTCTTCTTGTCACTCCCTGTCCCTTCCTCCGCTTTTGAACCAGGCACAGAAGCATGACCAGTATCAGCAACACCAGTAACTGCATCCTTACCAGCATCAGCATTAGCAGCAGCATCAGCAGTAGTACCAGCAGCAGCAGTGTCAGCATCTGCCATTTCCACGTCAGCATCTGCTCCAGTGGGTTGTGCCTTTGACTCCTCTCCTGCCCCTCCCCCCTCTTTCGCCTCTGCCCCCTCTTCTTCTTTGTCCGCCTCTTTGGCCTCTGTCCCTAGTTTTTCTTCTGCTTCCTCTTTCGCTTCTAAACCTTTCTTCCCCTCTACCGCTTCTTTCGTCTCTGCCCCCTCCTCTGCTTTCCCTTCCCCTTCCACAACCTTCACCTCTCCCTCAGTACCTTTCTCCTTGGCCTCCTCCTCTACCTTCGCACCCTCTCCCGTCTCTTTTCCCTCAACCTCCTTCTCTTTTCCCTCAACCTCCTGTCCTTTCCCCTCCCCCTCCTTCTCCTTCTCCTCCCCTTCCTTCTCTTCCCCATCCTCCCCCTTCCCTTTCCCCTCCTCTTCCTTCACTACCTTCTTCTCTCCCTCCTCCACTTTATCTTCCTCCAGCTTCTCCTTCTCTCCATTCTCCCTTTTCGCCTCCTCCTGCTTGCCCTCCCCTCCCTCCTTTCCCTCCTCTTCCTTCTCCACTTTCTTACCGCTCCCTTCCAATCCTTTACCTCTCTTCTCCCCTTCCCCTCCACCATCCTCCTTCTCCCCTTCCTTCACTTCCTCTCCCTTCACCACACCTTCCTCCCGCTTCCGCTTCTTCTCTGCGTCACCTGCCGCGCTTCCCCCATCCCCACCCCCGCCTCTCCCCCCGCTACGAGCAGGGGAGTCAGCACGGGCGCGGGAGGAAAGGGGGGCAGAGGGGGCAGAGCGGGAAGGCGCGGAGGGCGCAGCAGCTGCCCTGGCTTTCGGCTTGGCGGCGGGGTGCGGCTTGCGGAGAGCTGCAGATGACTGCAATGACAGGGCAGGGAGCGAAGGACAAGGGTAGGTTCAGGCTGAAAAAAGGGAGAGGGAAGGGAAGGCACGGCGGACGGGGCAGCTGCCTTGCCTTTCAGCTTGGCGGAGGGCTGGGGCTTGCGAAGTTCTGCAGAGGACTGCAATGACCGGAAAGGGGAGGGCAAGGTGAGGTTCCGGATAAAGGGGGGAGGAAGGGTAGGAGGGGGAACGAAACGGTTCCTTGACATGACAGCAGCAGTGCCGCACTACCATGCCATCGTATCACTGATGGAGGGACATAACAGTTCAGCACGCCTGGTGCCTCACCTGCAGCGAAGCGATGTGATGCGGTCGGTCATGTTCCAGAGCAGCACATTGTGGTCCTTGCTGCCGCTTTTCACCAGCAATACCTTTTTCAAGCGCTCCATTAGCGCTTTTCTTCACGCGCTTCATGGTTTCAGTCAAGCCAAAAACATGTCGCCTCACCTGCAGCGACGTGACGTGGTCGGCCACGTTCCAGAGCAGCACGTTGCAGTCCTTGCCCCCGCTGATCACCAGCGGCGCCACTGGGCTGGTCGCCATGGCAAACTCGGCGTCCTCCGTGTGCCCTACCAAGATCTGACGTGCGTAGGTGCAACAGAGGGAGGATGATGAGGAGTGAGGGAAAAGGGGGTATGGACAGAAAGCATGGCTGCCTCTCCCATAGCGAACTCGGCATCGTCTGTGTGCCCCACCAGGATCTGACGGACATGGGCGCGGGGGAAACGGGGAAGGAGCGGGAGGTAGGAGTGAGAGGGTAGGAGACATGGAGAACATGCCAACTCAGCATCGTCCATGTGCGTGCCCCACCAGGATCTGACGGGAGGAGAAAACGAAACGGAGAAGGAGAGGGAGGATTGAGAGGGAATGAAGCAGGCGTGTTGGAAGAAGGCGTGCAGAAGGGATGGCGCTCCACGTGCCACATGAGTACGTGAGCGTTGTCCGTGTGTGAACATGATGTTGCAATTCCGCCCTGCTCAAGCCCATCTTACACCCTCACCTGTCCACCCTTGAAATGGCCCAACGGCGCGCACACAACACAACACAGCCAGGGGCGCACAAGGCATGCCCACACCGTGAAGACAAGGTGGGTACGTACCAGGTCGGGTGTGGAAGCAGGGGTGTTGAAGGAAGGCGTGCAGAAAGGATGGCGCTCCACGTGCCACATGAGCACGTCAGGGCTGTCGGTGTGTGTGAAGATGATGTTGCGGTTCTGCACCAGCTCTCGGATGCGGTTCACCTCGCCCGGATGAACAATCGTCTTGAACTTGCGCACAAAGGGCGACCTCCTGTCGTACTTGAACTGGCACGAACCGAGGGCGAGGAGAGACGGGAGGGTGGGGGAAGAGAGGAAGGGGGGAAGGGAGGGAGGAATGGGGGGAAGGGAGGGGGAGGAAAAGAGACACCTTGCTCGATGCGGTTCACCTCGCCGATATGCACGATGGTCTTGAACTTGCGCACAAAGGGCGACCTCCTGTCGTACTTGAACTGTCACGGGCCAAGGGAGGACATGAGGGGAAAGGTGGGGGGCCAGGGAAAGAGGGGGGGGGGAGGGGAGGTTGTAGAAGAGGCATTGTGCTCGTTACAGTTCACCCCACCCGGATGCACGATTGTCTTGAACTTTCGCACAAAGGGCGACCGCCGGTCGTACTTGAACTGCCACGGGCAATGCGGGGGAGGGGAGGAGAAGGGGGGGAGGGGGAGGACAGGGGGTAGGGAGAAGCAACTCACTTGTGGTTCACTTTGTTCCCGTTAGGGCTTGCAACGCAAGACTGAGACTGAGAGGACACGCAGCTTCTACAGTCACTCAGAGCACAGATATGCACCAGCAATACCATGCACGCACCATCCATGCACGCACCATCCATGCATGTACCATGCATGCTTGCACTATCACCGCCATGCATCCACCATCCATGCATGTATGTACCATCACTGTAATCACAGCATACCCGGCAAATGTCCCGAGGGGCAGCAACACGAGGCTTCACCACATAAGCGTTGGACACCACAAGGGTGTTGGGTACTGTGCCGTCCGTCTGACGGGTTTCAGAGGGATACAGAGAGTGTGTGTGTGTGGTGCCAGAAACACGAAGGAGGTTATAGCCTGCAGGTTGGGATGACTTTTGAGTCGACTCAAAAGTCAGCTTGCAGGTTGGGATGACTTTTGAGTCGACTCAAAAGTCGCCAGAAACACGAAGGAGGTTATAGCCTGCAGGTTGGGATGAAAAAATGAAGGTGAGGAGAGAGGGGTTGGAGAGGGGGAGGGAGGGGAGGGAGGGGGGAGAGGATTGAAGGGGAGGGGTTGGGGGGGAAGAGAAGTACGAGGGGGACAGAAGGTGTGAGGATGGGTGGCGAGAGGGTAGCGAAGGCACAAAAACTCAAGCACCACTGATTTAACTCCTTTCCAGGAGTATATGCTAACGGAGGTCTCCAACAACATCACAAAATTCTTTGACTAAAGTTTGAACTTGAGGTTGAACCGTACCTGTTCAGAGAGGTAGAGGCGTCGCTTGTACTTATGCGTGCGGTCCTCCACCAACGGACCCCACCTGCCGTCGCACGCGCACGCGAAAACAACACACGCGCATGCGGAAAGATAAGTTGGATACGGAAGGCGGAGAGTCTACACGGTGGTCATCAGGGTGAGCAAAAGTAGGGGCCGCCATTACGAAAATAGGGAGCACTTATGAAGGGAACACGCTTTCCAAGAAAATAGGCTAATTCCGTTGTTTTTTACTAATAAGGGCTGCTATGCGAAAAGCTTTGGTTTGGTCCGAACCTGCACGAGAGCGACGGCCAGACGAGGTGGTGATTTGCGAACCAGTCGTACAGCAACGGCATGTTTCGCTTCCACTTTCGCCGATCGTCGCCCTCCTCCTCGTCGCTCGACTCGTCGTCGTCCCACGGGTCCTCCTCGCCGCGCCGCTCCGCCTCCTCGTCGTCGCGCTTCCCCACGCGACGCTCGTCCGGGCCCATTGCGTTACGGAGGGATAGCGGACAGGCAGGAGACTCAAGTCTGGCTGTCGAAGAAACACGGAAATGGCAGCCTACACCAGAGCTGGCCTAGATATTGCCGACAACAGCAAATGCAAGCTTTGGCCAAGACAGACAGCATTAGCTGGAGGGGTTCGATTTGATTTGAAGAGAGAAATTTGAAGCCCCACAATTTGATTGGCGGAATGAGTGCAGTACATTTTGTTTGTCCAAAAAAACTCTTATACATGACAAACATGACATTTATTCAGCGACAGATACACAGATACACATCAGTGAACCGGTCATGAAGAAACTGCCGATGTCACATCAGCATTGGTAGCAACTGGTCTTTTGGCAACCGACTCAGGCGGTGGAGCACCAGTGGCTTCAGCATACTTGTCCTCCAGATCCTGTAGCATACGACAGGTTTATCACCCGTTATTTTATAACTTATTGCAGTGCAAAGGCAGCATATATGCAAACGCGAATCGACTACTTACGATGAGCTTGCTGCGAATAGTGTCGAGAACTTCCGGGGTCATTCGATCAAAGTAAAGGGTCCCCTGAAAACAAAACAAACATCAGCATGTAACACTCTCAGCCAACGTCACCTTATTCAGGCTAAAAAGGCTCTTTTGCGTTCGGCTCACACAATAAGCGAATCAAAAGTCCGCTCTGCTGAGTCACGAGGCATACCTCCAGGTGATCGTACTCATGTTGGAATATGCGTGCTTGCCACTCTTTTAGACTGATGCTGAATTTCCGACCGTTGATATCCTGAGCATCCACCTTCACACCCATTGGCCGCTGCAAACAACATAGATAGTAGACAACATACAAACAAACAAATACACCCACACACACACAAAAGCAATCAGGCTCCATCCTACTAGCACCAGCATAAACGACATACAAACACTATATCCAACTCTGCAGAACTCCTAAAACTGACACACTCACCTCGACGTCAGCGTAGATCTTAGGGAACGAGAGGCACCCCTCCTCGATGACATCCCGTGCCTTGGCATACTTGACAATGCGCGGGTTCACGAGCACCATCTCCACGCCCTTGCCCCTCTCACCCACCGGGTTGTACACCATCAGGCGCACGTTCACCCCCACCTGTGGCGCTGAAAGCCCCACGCCCTCCGTCCTGCCCGCATGAAGGGAGAGCGGGGAGGGGGGGAGCAGGGGAATTGGGAGCGGGGAGATAGAGGTGGGGAGAGAGGGGGAGCGGGGGGGCGGGAGAAGGTTACGTGGAGGAAACAAAACAGGTCCTTATTGACATCAAGGCGCATTGATGTCTCGCGCCTTGGCGACAATGCGGGGATTGACCGATGACTTGCTCCATGACCGAGAACTTGCTCCCCATTAGACCGAGCACATTCATCCCCCCTGTGGGGGTGCTGACAACCCCATCCCCTCCGCCCTGACAACAACAGGGAGAAGAGGAGGGGGGGAATAGGAAGGGCGAGAGAGTGAGGTGGGGAGGAAGAGGAGGAGAGTGGGATAGAAGGAGGGGGGCTGTCAATGACACGCTCACCTGTACATGACATGAAACGGTCACTTGTACATGACATGACATGCTCACCTGTACATGACATGAAACGCTCACTTGTACATGACATGACATGCTCACCTGTACAGGCCATGAAACCCTCACCTGTACATGACATCGAACATCTCCGCTACAAGCTTCTGCAGCGACTCATCAAAGACGTTCACACGCTTGTTGGGCGCCCTCAAGCGCGGGTCCGGGTACAGCACTATGTCCAGGGGTGACTCATACGAGATGGGGCCCGCTGCAAGGGCGATGGGAAGAAAGATTAGGAAGGAGGGGAGGTGGGGAGTCAGGGGAGGGAGGGGAGAGGGGACCATGCGGTTGGTCATTGAGGAAAGAGGTCATTTGATTCACGGGATGACCATGCGCAAGTACAATGTAAAAACAACGCATGAGAAGAAATGCATGCTTCGGCACGCACATAGATGATGCATAGAGGACACATGCATGAGCGCTGAATATAGACAGACGAGCGACAGGAGCAGCACTGACCGACGTTCTCCTCGTCTTTAATTGATTGCAGCTCGGATAGGAACCCCCTGCGCGCCCTGGCGACGTGCCGAGGGGGGTGAGCTGGGAACGAGCGAGAGGGGAGGGAGGATGGAGACGAGAGGGTTGGAGAGAGGACAAGAGCAGCACTGACCAACGTTCTCTTCGTCTTTGATAGACTGCAGCTCCGAGAGGAAACCTCAGCGCGCCCTGGCGACGTGCAGAGGGGTGTGAGCTGCGGGCGGGAGAGAGGGGAGGGAGGGTGGAGACGAGAGGGGAAGACGAAGACGGATGCAAGGGAGGGATGGAGACGGACGCGTAGTGCGCAGATGCGCGCGTGAGAGGGCAACAATGTATACAAGGAGGAGAGGAGGGAACGGGCACAAGGGATAGCATCTGAAAGTGCATTGAGCATGTAAAACAGCCACTCCGGCGCTTGTAATCCGAGCAAGGTGAGGAATTTGAGGAAGGCGAGGGGGATTGAGGTGGCTGAGGAGGGGTGCGAGAAGTGAGGGTGGTGCAGGAAGTGAGGGGGGTTGCAGGAATTGAGGGGCTGTGGGGTGGAGGAGGGAGTGAGGGGGTTGAGGGAGGCAGAGCACGCGCATTCTACGGAATTTTAGACTCGGCAACGGAAACAAACCAGTAGTATTCTGCAGGATGGAAGGACGGGGAGATCCGAACACGGAGAGCCGTGGATTTGTTCCCGCTTCCGATCTGGAGGCGTTGAAGCTCTCTGCAGCCTCGCAACGCGTGGCATGTGACTTTAAGGAGCTTCGATGAGAGCGCGGCGATGCAGCAGCATTCAGTGCGGTCCGAGAAGGTAATCTGCGGTTGAGAATATTAGTCGCCGTTGCCTCCCGTCGCAATTGATTACCCAGTTGGAGCCTGCCACGTGGAGAGGTCAACGATGGAGCTAAGATTATCGAGAAGAGCGCAACGGAACGAGAAAGAAAGTAAATTAACTTGTGATTGCTGCACCGACGAAGGAACGGACGGTAATAGCAGAAACTGGAACGAGCTGCGTACGGCGAGGAACGTACCCAGAGAGACCCCTCAAAAGAGGACCTCGACAGCAAAGCGTATTAGCCATAGATTCCTCCGCTGCCAAAATAGAAGCTTCTCGCGATAACTACCTGCACCGGAATCTGTAGAGTTGCTTGCTAGGAGGCAAATGAACCGAGGAGGCAAATGCCAGCAGGCATAACGACCCTGAAATGAGTCCAGGTTCAGATTTGATTTGAGTGAGGGATTTCGTAGGTGCCCAAACTGTACTTCGTTATCTTTGAAAGCAATTTATGTTTTAATCGAATCACTCTAAACAAAAAACAAACCATTTCCCAGATTTCGTGATTGTAGTCTTCGCCGAGATCCGAGACGTCCCATCACATCAATCTCCTTTCAACGAACCTATCCTGGCCTTCCCGCACTTCACGCTTCTATTTTCCCCACAAACCCATCACAATCACAGGACCCGAGTCGCAATGTGTTCAATCCCATCACATCATCATCGTTGCTCCGATTCGAAATGTCTGTCCACTGAAACCCTCAGGCCCATACACAGCGGCACCGCTTCTGCTTCTTCTGACTTCAGAGCCTCTGATCCTAAATCGTGGTTCCTCATTCTCAGCAAGCCGCTCTGTTCATTTCCACCGTATGAGCATACTGCGCGCCGTTTAGCTGTTTCTTCTAGCATAAGCTACTTCTGTGGAGATTTTTTATGCCACTGGCCTTCCTGTGTGGACATGGGTCCATGGCTACTACCAATACCTGTACAAACTTCCCCCAACCTATTTTTTGCAACTCCGTTGCAGTCAAACGGGGCACGTTTATTCGACAGGCCCGTCAGAACTCATCATTTGCGAAGCATCTCATACAAACAGAGAATCTCCCCATGGGCCCATGGTGAATCAGCAGCAGAAAAAACGATGGAGATTGAGCCAATAAGTTCGAGGTTCGATGGATGCCGACGAAGGCCACATAAATCCCCACAGACGCCACCTTTGGACAAAAACTCGCTCATGGCGGGCAGGCGAAACAGCGAAATCAGAGAGAACAGTAGGAGCACCAGGAGCCATACCGAGAGCAACTGGAGCAGCGAGAGGAGTGAGAGCACCGGGAGCAGCGCCACTGCATTTCCAGTGGAGGTGGGGTTGTTTCCAGCGGACGCGTGGGACCTGAAAGAGGCTGCTGCCACCGGCGCCCAGGTGCGAGTGATCGGGCCGCCCACCATGGTAACCCGAGGGGTGACCCCTGGAAGTGCCATCCCTTCTGCTGCCCTGGTGACCTGGCACTCCCAGGTTAAGGTAACCGAGGCTGAGGAGGCTTTCCATCGGGGGAGCGCCAAGGAATTGAACCATGCTAGCAATGGTGCTACTTGGAGCAAGAGCCCGGGCTTGGATAATAAGACGTCTGGTGATGGTTGTGATGCAACTAGAGGGGTGGCCATTTCACTGACTAGCAAGTTTCCAGAGCTGGAAAAAATGCTTCTGCAGTGCAGCAGCACAAGGCACGTGGTTCGTATAGGAGAATGGGGAGCGCTGATCGCTCGCAGGTATGGAGTCTCGCTGACGGACCTCTCCCGAGCCAACCCGAGCCTGAGGCTTGGCAAGCTGGTTCCAGGCCAAACCATCAACCTCCCTGCTACATCCAAACCTCTTGCTAACCCAACTATGGTTTTCTGCTCTGGGGTGCTGTGGATATTTAGGGCCGTTGTTGCTGTGAGGAAGCTGGTCCACAGGCTGTTTCAGTGGTTGCTACAGCAGCGACAACTAATGCAGCAGCAGCAGCAGCAGCGGCAGTGGCAACAGCAGGAATGGCCACTGATGGAAAAGTTTCAGGAGCTTCAGGGATGGAGGCATCGGCAGCAGGAGCCTTTGTATGCACGACAACAGCAAGACCAGCCCATGCAGGATGACGAATATGACAATCTGGAGGATGGAGGGAAAGTGGTACTTAGTGAATGGGTCGAAGCAGACACCGACAAGGAAGAAAGCAAGAGCACAGCTTCATCAGACGAGGCCCAGGAGGCCGAAAACAGGATCACTAGTGACAGGGGAGCAGTGAAAGATGCTGCTTTGCAACCTTTTGCCAGCAGAAGTCAGCTGCTGATGGAGAGATGGACGGGAGGGAGAACAGTGCAGCGGTGGGTGCAATCTGTTTCCATCAGCTCTGTCTCCTCCAAAACTCCATCGTCACTGTGTGGCCCATTGTCAGTCTTGCAAACATCACTGTCCCTCCACAGGCTGGTGGTACTGCCTGCGAGCCTCCATGTGCTTCTTCTGCTCTCTGCTGCCATCCTAGTCCTCCGTGTGTGTAGGCGTGGTCCAGCAGTGAATGGAAATAGAGAAGCGTAGGTGAGCTGACTACTGGCATCACAATGTTGTCTAGCTGTAGCAGCAATATCATTCACTGAATACACTGAAGATGTTAAGGAATTGGTCAGATGTGTTATCAGAGTGATCTTTGTTTGTAGCTGTCGCAAAAGGATCTCCACTTAAGTAAATCCTCCAGTGAGGTGAATTCGGTGAGATAGGGTGGACATGTAACAAGCTGGCATTGATAAAAGCATACACGTGACATTGCAGCGACGCACTAGAGACGAGGCCCCATATCGAGCAGCTTTGTAGTACCGCAACCAGGCAATGGACGCTCTCAGAACGGAAGGCTGCTGTTGGTTCGCATACAGCTAATCCAACGGCTGTAAGAATGTAGGAAGAGCTTCGATTAACGCAGCCGCCGAGCCTCACGCTCGGATTCCATGAGGGTGAGGACGTCTCCTGCGACAATGGGGTAGGACACATAAAAACCGAATTGAAGTGGGAACGACAATCCCACAAACTCGTGAATGATTTGGATGCGTTTAGTATAGTTCGGAGGGGACAGGAACAGTAGACTGAACTGTCAGCGTAACCACACCGAACACCTGAACGATCAGATCAGTCGGTACGACCAAGTTTACCCTCTTATAATCAACCCAACACGCGAAGGACCGTAAGTGATGTAAGTCAAGTGCTATTGAGTCAGTCTGGTTCCAAGGCCAAATACGAGGAAAAGTGGCTGGCTACAGTTCCGAATGAAGGTAAGACTTACTGCCAACGGGCAGCACGACTGCTGCAGTGAGGTCAAGATGGACGTTACCCCACCAATCTGGCTGCATGATTCCCCTTAACTAAACGAGCCGGCCTGCACTCGTGAAGTGGGTCCGATGAGGAGCTGCTGCTTCTATCAAACGAGGTGGAATACTCTCTCGTCAGACTATCACACAGGGTCGAATGGCCCGATCTCTGAAGCCAGCAGCGACCGATTATGCACCCGACGCGGGAGTCAGGGAAACCCTAACCTCCACATCGTGACTCAGCCGTCGATGCTGCTGCTACTCATGTTGGCGCACTGGGCGTCATTGTCACACACGTTAGCGCACGGGTGGGACCCCTACACCCACACACCTTGACGCGCGCAGTCCACCACCTTCCTCATGACCTTAATCAGGGAACTACACGCGCACCTGCATACCCTCTCAGTCACCTCTACAGTCACCTCGCGTTATTGTCACACACCTACGCGCACGGGGCCCTTGACGTTCTTCAGGATGTAGCGATCCTCATCGAGGAACATCACGCGCACTTGCTTGACCTTTGAGTCACCTCTACAATCACCCCAAGTTACTGTCACACCCGCGTTATAGTCACACACCTACGCGCACGGGGCCCTTGACGTTCCTCATGATGTAGCGGTCCTCATCGATGAACTTCACGCGCACTTGCGTGACTTGACCGCGGGACCCCGTGCGGCCGACCACCTTCTCCACAATCGCCAGCTTCATTGGGGAGTCCTGCACACGACGGCGATCGCAAGAGAGGTAATTTGGTGAATATTTGGTGAACGCATTAGTGAGCTATCGCCAGATTCATGGGTAACTGTACATGACGGACGTAAGAGAGGTAATTATGACGTGAATAAGCGCCGAAAAGCGACGGCACTGCGAATGGCAGCAAATGACAGCGACTGTGACAGCCATCGAACGGAAGAAAACGACGGTGAAGGAAAAGAGAGGAAAGCGCGAAGGCGGAAACGACGATGCACACGGCAGGAATAGAGAGGTAATCAGCGCGCGATCTGAGTGCGTGAAGTTAGCTAATCAGCACAGCGACAAATGCGTTGGGATCAGGGGATCACGTGGTTGCAACGACTGTTACGAGCTACTAACACCCAGAAATGGACGCTGAGCTTCTTAACTGCTAAACTCCCCACTAAACCTCTCAGATGAATCATCATAATTGAGAGATGCACTTCCCCTGGGCACTATCTAATCTACCAACGAGTGGAACATCGCGACGCGGGCTCACCATGTTGACAGGAAGCGCTAGCACTCGGTTTAAGAGGCGGTGCCGGCAAGGGCAGGCGGCAGCAGAGGTCTAGCGAGAGGAAGATTAGGGAGTATTGTAGGAAGGGAAAGGGAAAATGAGGTAAGTGCGGAGCCATGATGAAACCCTAGCGCTTCCCCTCCCCCACCCCTCCTTCTCTCTGAAGCTCCGCCCGCTCTGCCAATTTGTGCTGCTCCGCGCGCGGAGAAGCACGAGAATGTGGCGTTTGGGGGCAAAGGAGTCGGGGTTTTGCGGAAGGTTCGGCGGAGTTGGTTCATCACACGTCACGGTGATTGTCCCCCGCACCTGGTTGAAAGCCCAAAGTCCAGTGATAATTGAGATAAAAGCGTTGTAAGCAGTCGTTTCTACAGACTTGATAGAATTAATTATGATAGAATTAATGGGTTCTAAGCTTCCTATCCTCTGGGGCAGTATGGTTTCCTTATGAAATGCTTGGTGGTGTTCATCCACTTACATGAAACAGTACAGCAGAGACAATAATATACATATTGCATCTTAACGGTTCAACTAGTATCGTCTCAGTCAATATCAGCATGAGTACCAGAACAGCCCACAGAATCAAGATCGCCCCTGCGTTATCTACCCCCTTTTGCAATTGCACAGCCCAGATAATTGGGTGGTACCCCTAGACATCTTTCGTGTCTCCCATTTCAACATCTGTCCTTTCACCTGATAGTGTATGGCTACCATTCTCCACACTCCGAATCCCACCATCAACTCTTAGCTCCGCAATTAAGCCTTTTGGAGCCCCAACTTCCCTCACCTCCTCAGCTTCACCCTTACTCCCACCTGCGGCCTCTGGCCCTGCCACCTCTTTTCCCTCTGTTGCTTCTACAGCACCCTCCCCTGCACCACTCTCCACAGCAACACCCTCCTTAGTGGTACCCTCTCCAGTAACGCCCTCCCCTGCAGCACCCTCCACTGGTGTTGCATGTTCATCAGCCACTGGCGCAGCCTCAGCACCTTTACAGCCCTCAGCAAGTACACCCCCAGCTATGGCTTCACCAATACTCGTTGGTGCCATCACAGCTGTGCCTGCAACTGAACCATCCTTGATTCCCCCTTGCTCCTCCGTTCCTGCTGCACCTACACCAACCTCCGTGCTTTCTTCACCAACCTTGGAGCCTTCTCTGTCTCTACCTGCTAAATCAGTCTCACCCCTCCTTTGCTTCTCCTTTTCACCTGCTGATCCTTCAGCTGCACTAGCATCTACCATCTCTGTTTCCCCCTCTGCTGCCGCCGCTGCTGCAGCTGCTGCTTCTAGGGGAGGCTCTGCACCTACTCCCGCACCAACAGCATAACCCGCTGCAGCCTTCAGACCCTCTCCTTGCTCTTTTGTCCCTTCCTCCACTGGCTGAGGCGGCTCAGAGACCCCATGATCTGTCCCATCACTCGGGTGCTGCTCATGCTCGTTCCCTGCCCTTCCCTCATCTGCAACTGCCAATCCGTCTGGTTCCTTGGCTTCATTTTCAGGCTTCTCTTGCTGCGCCTCCGCTATCCCCCCACCCTCCTGCCCCTGTGCAGTCTCGGTTGTCTCAGCCACCCCTTGGCCGCTCTCATTGTTGTCTCCAACAGGCTGCTGCTCCTCCCCGCCCACCAATGGGGCACCCTCATGCCTTCCACCCTCCTCTGCTGCTCCATCCTTCCCCCCGTCCACCTCTCTTATCTCCTCCCCTCCAGCACCAACCACCTCTTCTTCCTTATGCTGCTCTAGCTGCTGCTCATGCTGCTCAGACTGCTGCCCCATTTCTGGCTGTTCCTGCTGCTGCTGCTGCTGCTGCTGCTCCTTCGCCTCCTCCTCTTTCCGATCCTCCCATGCTGCAGTTTCCTCCTCTTTCCCCTGATCAAACGCCACTCCATGCTCCTCCTGCTCCGCCTGTTGCGTCACCTGCACGTTCATCTCGTCCCCTACCTGTGCCACCCTTTCTTGCACCTCCACCATCCCAGCCATTGCCTCTGCGCCTGCCCCTGCCTCAGCGCCCTCCACCGTATGAGGTACTTCCCCTCCCTGCTCTCTCTCCACCCTTGCTTGTAGCTCATCGCCATGACCAGATTCTAACCCCTCACTCCCCCCTTGGACCCCCAGCACTACTATTCCACCTTCCCCCCCCATCCCGCCTCCCAACCCTGGTTCCTCCCCCCCTGGCAACAGCAGCTGCTGCTCCTCTGCCAAACCTGGCACCGGACCTACAAATTCAGGCTCGGGTACCTGAACTTGAAGCACAAGCTCAGGCGCAGGCTCGGGTACAGGCTCCAGTGCAGGTTCTGGTACAGGCTCGGGCACAGGCTCGGGTGCTGCTTCCGGAAGGGGCCCCGGAGCAGGAAGGGGTGCAGGCTCGGGTTTCCCAGGCAGGTAAGGAGCAGCAACAGAGGCAGAATGAGGCGCTGAGGGAGGAGCAGGGAGAAGGGCAGGAGAGGCGGGTTGTAGGGGTTCAAGTGCTGATGAAGAGGGGGGAGGAAGAGCAGAGGGAGGGGCAGTTGAAGGCTCGTGAGGTGGTGGTGGTGCATGAGCGGTACTGGGTGGTACGGAGGTTAGCTGATACTTGTGCATCGGGTTGTACGATGCTGGTGGGAAGGCCGCTCCTTCTGCTGATGGGTCTATGCCCGATTCTTGAAGCTGATTGGGTGGAAAAGACAAGGAACGGGCGGGAGGAATGGGAAACAGAGGAATGAAGACGTGGTGGGGGGGCGAAGAGGGCAACATGGGAACGTGGTGCAAAGCAGCATGCGGGATGAAAGGTGGTGCTGATGAGGCACCAGGCAAGGGAATTTAGACCGTGGAGAATAAAGGAAGCGAAAGTGGGGAAGAAAAGGATGAGGGCAGGGCAGGGCAGTGCAGCTGACTGACCATGGTTCGGAGCTGGGCGTTCTGAGCACACAGGGAGGCGTACTGCTCCCGCACCTTTGCTAGCTCCTGTCCGCAGAGAAACGGCAACGTGAAAACAGAAAAGTTGAAAGGGAGAAGAAAGATAGACAGAACATGGCGTTCAGATGGTCTCTCTGCTTCGCGTGGCGAGCAGCAATGAGGGAGAGGGGAGGGGGGAGAGGGAGGAGGGAAGAGGGGAGAGGGAAGTGGGTACATACATGCCGCGGCTAGCCCCATGTTTTCCATCTGCACGGCGGTCTGCCGCGCTATGAGCTCGTCACAGCATGGCAGGAAGAGGGGACTAGGAGGTAAGAGGAGAGAGGCAAAGGGGGTACATACCGTGGCTAGCCCCATGTTCTCCATCTGCACGGCGGTCTGCCGCGCTATGAACTCGTCACACTCTGCCTGCTTCCTCAGCCGCGACCGCCTCGCGCTCTCCCTGTTGCTCTGCTTCCGCCTCTGCCTCTTCACCTCCCTCTCGTCCTGCAAACGATCACGGAGAGAAGCACACATTAGCAGGAACACATATGGAGAGGCACCCAAAAGCATCGTATCACCCGAGCGCGCACGACAGGAAGAACCACAACGAGCCAAAGAGAACAAACAAGGAGGAGGAAACGAAAGGACAGCGGGGTATTCTCACCCCGCGAAACGGAACCTGGTACATCAGACTCCCTCCCACGTCGCCCCCATCCCCTCCTGCCCGCGCCCCTACCGCTCGTGCCCCCAGCTTCCCCCCAACGCCCTGCCCCAGGGAGGGAGGCGGCACCACAGCAGCAGGAGCAGCAGCGCCAGTCCACATATCCGCAGCAGACGCACCCATGGGGTTATACGCCATTCCGCCACCCACGCCCCCTCTTGCTCCCCCAGCAGCAGCATGACCGCCCCCACCAGCACCCGCAGCAGCAGCAGCCGCAGCTGCTGCCGAAGCAGACGGGCCTTCGGATGGGCTTGAAGGCATGGACGTGTACTCTCCCGCCGAGCCTGAGGCCAGGGCCAAGGCTTGGCCCGAGCCTGGTGCCGCCTGGGTGTGCGGATGGGCGAGGCTCGTCCCTCCAGTGGTAGCAAGAGCGCCATCTTGACCATGTGACTGCTGAGACGACCTTTTGCGCTTCGAAGGGGCAGCTTGGGCGGCAGGCGCAGCAGGCGCCGCGGCAGCTGCTGGTGGGGCCGACCCAGCAGCAGCAGCCCCGCCGGCAGCACTGGCGGCGGCGGCGGCAGCGGCAGCAGCAGCCATGGCATCATGGGAGTAGTCCATGGGCATGCCGGGGTAGCCCTGTGCTGCTGGCATGGCCATGGGGCCCATCGGGGTCATTCCCATCATCGCTGCTGCTGCTGCTGGCACCTCAGAGCCGTCCGCCTGGAGATGGGGAGATTAGCGAAGAGAAGGGGATTAGTGGAGGAAGACACGGCTCAATGAGTTGGATGTAGTTAGCAGTAATAGCAACAGCAGCAGCAGCAGCAGCAGCAGCAGCAGCAGCAGGAGGGGCAGGCATGTTCGTCACTAAATCTGAAAAGAGCGTACCGATTGAGGAGGTGGGTAACCGTAAGGGGATGGGGCCACTGCCCCTGCAGCGCCTTGGGCCATGCCAGGGTGAGGTGCAGCATACATAGCTGCATAGCCGTAGGGCCCTGGTGGTACACCACCGTAGTGCGCTGCCATCATTGGCTGAGAAGGCAAGGGGAGTAGGACAAAGGGGAAATCGAACAACAGAGGGGAAAGAAACGAGTGAGAGTAATGCGGAACATGAAGCGGAGAGACGATTGACGACAGGGCGCCACTACTTAACAACTGCTTGAATCAAATGATACTCAAATCGCATACCTGTGGTCCCCACATGTACGGATGGGGATGCCCTCCCATTGGTGCGCCGTAGTAACCTCCTGCATGCGCCGCTTGCCCTCCGGACTTGTAATACGCCTGCAGGCCACCATTCCACGCCACAAAATCGAAGGTTCAGTGACCGTTTAGCGGACGATAAGGACTAGGGCACTGAGAGTTTCCGTTCCGACTGCACCCAGTTCATTCGGAAGTCGACCTAAGGAGCAAAGCGGGACGCGCGGGAAAAGAAGGCTACTGGCGTCGTGAGGAACTGGGTAGGAAAGATCCGCTTCCAGCGCACAGGGCGCTAGACGACTGCAAGGACCGACGAAAGAGCGGGGAGCGTCGCCATCAGTCGGGATCAGAGCTTTCTGGCTTGAGATCCGCTGACTGAATTGAGGTCTGCTGTCTGAATTGAGATCTGTCGAGTGGGTCAAGTACTGCTGGCTGGGTCGAGATCTGCTGATTTACTGCTGACACGGCTGGTCTCCTGACTGTGGGGGTCTACTGACTGGGATGTGATCTGAAGACGGTATTGAGGTCCGCTGACCCGTTTGAGTGAATCTGAAACGATAGAGAACTACCTTGAGGGCGTTACTCTGCGATAATCGCTCGGGTTACAGTACTCGCTCAAGCTGTCGTAACTATCGTGTGCTGCTGACGGCGTATGCTGCACCGTTCGTAGGTTTGAGCAGAAACGTGCTCCCCAGCATGACAGCTGCAACCTATTCCTTCCAGATGTCGCCAGATGCTGAGCTTCGTGGCTAAGCGTGCTCACCTGCATAGCAGCTGCAGCCCAATCGTTGTACCCGTTAGAGGGGTCCTTAGACACATCACCTGCGGGTGATAACGAAGGAAAAAGCGTGAAATCTATTGAACTAGTGTACCAAAATCCGAGAAAAACACGACAGAGCTCGACGGAAGCCGTTCCGAAAACGATTGAGGCCTACGACAAAGGAATGCTCGAGCGAAATAACATATGCTCGCCGTTAGGTGCGCGGTACATGCCTTGTTGAGCTTGCTCGTCCGCCATTGCCTCGGCAGACTACGTCCTATCGTTAACTTCGGCGAAGGGGAAAAACAGTCTAATCGCCTCTTTCTCTTAACTACACCCCACACAACAATTAATCTTGCTTTAGCAAACTGACAACCTCCTTAGTCGGAAAACTAACAAGCGTCATGTCGACCAGCAAGTTCGGTCGGCCGCAACCATAGCTCAAATGCGACGCAGCAAGTTTGCTAAATGTTCTTTCCAAATGCTTTGCTTCGCAGGCGACACGGTAGCGCGGTGTGGGAATGCAAGGAACGCAGGCGGGTAGGTCAGGAAGCAAGACTCAGTAAAAAACTGCCATATCATCCTAGGTACGGGGGGAAGACTGAAGGGAAAAGTGTGCACATGTGGAGAGGGAGGGAGGACATGGCAGGCGGGGAGCGGCCATAGTTTGGATCCAGAAACCCTCGTCTGCTCCGACCTTCTACACGCTGGCCTTGGGACTGACACGGAAGTGCTGGGCTGGAAACCCTCGTTCCATCGGACGGTTTAACGAGAGTAACGCTGCTATCGACAGCTGCAAACGAATCTATGAAATCCACGCAGGCAAAGGGGGTAGTTGAGGTTTCGGCGGTGATTCTGCCACGTTCAGGCTGGTATGTTGCGGACCGCACTTACGTGGCAAGAAATTAGTTCGGTTCGGACAGAGGCTCGTTTCTCGTGCGTCGCTACCTTCACGAAACATAAGAAGTTACCGTAACCGAATCGAGTCTCAATACAGATGTGATGTTTGCGCTCTACCCGATTCCTACGAATATTCCTTACAACTCATTGTGCAAACGAGTTTTGCATTATCGGCAACAGAAAGTATCATATATCTCGCACTGCGTGGCGGTCGCCAAATCCAAACAGCAACTTCTTCTCATCGTCGTTCAGTTACACCCCATTTTGTTCGCCGCACGGATGTGTGCTACAATGGTCCCTCCATTATTCGAAGAGAGTGTGCAGGATGGCGTGCAGCAAATACTTCAGGTTCGTCATTTTGTCGTCGACAGAGGCATGGCATGGCACGCAGTGCCGCGAAAATATGGAATCATTATGCGTGGCAGATGTGACAGAGCAATCCCAGCTGTCCTCTGCCCAACTGGGAGGAGGCGCAGAGCCCATTCGGGGTGCTCGCTCACTTCTACAGATGTTTCGGCTAGAAATTCCGTGTCCCAGTCAGGCCTAACGATTCAGGGGTGTTACGAATAGTAATACTTGAACATTACTGTGCACTCCTCACCGCATCAAAGAGAAGCACGCAGTATCGCGAATGAACGCGAAGCGTCAGACGGTTGGAATCGACTCGAAGCGTCAGACAGTTGGGACGCATCTGGACCGTCCACAGCATCAGGCAGCTGCAGGCAGGATGGCTTCGGCGGGAACAGTTTCGTAACTGTTCGCGCCGCACGGTTGGGAATGTACGGTATTTGAATAAGGGAATGTACCCCTTAGAGTACATGGCTAGCTAGGTCGTTTCATCTCCCCTGTACTCATATTTATATTTGCTGTATTCGCATGTTTTAAATCATCTCAAAGCATTTTACATTCACTCTGCTATTGAGGTCAAGGGCCCACCAACATCACTTCTCTGCGTGCGAACCTTCCCGAGTAGATCCTAGGCCACGATCAACTTCTGATCGCAGCATGGTATGAGAGCGGCTCGGGAATCCTTCGCACTGCCACTCCCGAAAATTACGACATTCGGAAAGTGGCGTCCGGCACACGCTCGCGTGTGAGAATGGCCGGAGGATCTGGTGGTCAGACGAATCTGACGGCTGAAGCGCAGCCCAACCCGGCTGCGACAAGCGAGGAAACGACGACGATCCCTTCCGCCGTCCTCGCACAACTGCTTCAGCGACTCACGAGCCTGGAGCAAGGACTCCAAACATTGCGGAATGGCGACGCGGGAACCTCTTCCCAACCCACTCAACCGGCGTCAAACGCCCAGAACTCCGCCCCGCAAGGCTTCTCCCTAGATACGAATGGCTCAACCCCCAAGACTCCCTGTCCCAGCGATGAAGCAATTCTCTCCGCGCAATCAAGGTTTTTGAGCATATCAAAAATAAAGACAAGTGTGTGCTTTGACGGCAGAGACTTTTACACCTGGAGCTTCGAGCTGGAACTGCTGCTGCAAAACGCGCAGATTTATCATTATTTCGACGGGAGCTACTCGGGACCTACTGAGGACACCGACGACGCCAGGACTCGCTATTATAACGAGTCCCTGATGGCGTACGGGATTCTTCTGCGTAACATGTCGCCGGCGGAGCAGCTGAACATTCGTTCATACAAGACATCGGCTGCCCCAGCCCTCGACGCTTGGCGCCACCTGAACGGCGTGTATCAGCCCAAGGACTCCGTCTCCTCGAGCCGACTACTCCAGCAACTGCTGGAAACTAAGATGACCTCAGGGGAGAAGGTCAACAGCTACATCAACCGCTGTCGGAGCCTTCGCGATCAAATCGCAAAGTTGGGAAGCTCGATTTCCGAGGAAATCTTCGTGAACATTGTGCTTCAAGGGCTTGGCCCAGAATGGCGGCCCTGCAAGGGGCTCCTCCGACAGCAGGGGGTCATCTCGGAGGCCGCCCTTTGCGCCGCCCTTCTCGTCGAACAACGGGATATGGATCAGCAGCGACCAGCGCCACGACGAGAACGCGAACGGCTCGCCTTCTACGCCGACAACAATGAAGAGCGACGACCGCGGCGCCTCTACTGCAAAATCTGCAGAAACTTCGGGCATTTGGCGGATCGATGTAAGTTCCGATCTCGCCCTCGCCAGACCAATCCGAGCAACTGGTCCGGCCGACAAGACGCACGAGGCGACGTGCGTCCAGCCCAAGGGTATCAACCCCCACCCGCGCGCAATCTGAACTCAACCGTTCAGCATCAGCAGCAGCAGCCATCAACTGCCCCTACGCGCAACGTCATGAGCAACATGGCCATGACAGGCGAGTCACGTCGTCGCCGTGTTCGCTCACCCTCACCTGAGCCAGCACCGCACCCCATCGGCGCGTTCACCAACAACAACCCGTTCAGCCCGCGCCGCGACTTCAACGACGACGACGACCAGGACTGGAACCTCCCAGTCCCGCTACTTGAAAGTCCCCCGCACATACCAGACATGCGGGTGGCGCGACTTGATTGGCTCTCGCGCGAGCAATTTCTGAAGTTCGACACCCCGCACATCGTCACACCGCGATTGGCGCTGCTCGCACGTGACGACAGCAAGCGCTACAACACCTGGTACCTGAACAGCTGCTGCGGCCAGCATATGGTGGGCTCCGAGCGTTACATATCCAACGCCGTCCCCACCCCTACAGTCACTTACGTCACTGTGGCGAACAACACGCGCCTGCGCGCAAGCGCACAAGGCATTGTCGTGCTCAAAGCACGTGGAAGCCGCACGCACATCACGCTTAACGATGTGCTGATCGTCCAGAACCTGCGCTTCAACCTCCTGTCCACCGCACAGCTCATGGACTGCGGCGTCGACCTCAGCACGGATCGCGCGACGCGAGACATCCTGCTGCACTACGAATCGCGCAAATTTCCCCGCAGGCAGATCGGACGAGCGCACTCCGAAAATGGAGTGTATGTCCTAGATTTCGACATTCCCGACTGCAGCGGCGACTCGCATGAGTTGATTGATCTCGTGCCACTGCGCTTCGAGCACATCCACCGCAGGGATTGGAAGCACCCTGACGGCAGACCGTGGGTGCCGCATCATCCCCACCCACGCGAAACGGCGTTACACAACCCCGATCTAGATGGCATATGCAGGGATTGTCACACGCCGACGACATCAACGACCGTGATTGCCGGCCGCGGACTCGCCGCCATCGCTGAAGCAGAGCGCCACGCGCACCCAGAGGAAGGGATGTCGCAGCTCGAGCTTGAAGTTACTACCCACGGCATTTTCGGCACGCCAGAGCATCCCCTAATCGGTCCCCCCTCACAGCACCTTCAAGGCATGCTGCGCGGAACTGGCGTCGGCACCTTTGATGCC